AAACCCGGAACTCTTCAGGTTGTCAAAGTTATATCGCACTAGATTCTTTTTCCGTATAACAGACATCATATAACATGAAAACTACCTCGTAAATCTGCCGGCATATGAGCATCTCAAACAGTGGGTGCTTGTTCAGTTATACATAGCATTTTGAGACCCTGTGTTTAGGCGAATTCCACTCAGTTTGTGTGAAGTGGAGCTAGAGACGCCCATGGTTATGCTAACTTTGCCTATAAATCTCAGAAGGTTACTGCCGGTCCACAGTCCGGATAAAAGAGGAGGGTTAAGGATGGTGCAAGCAAACCCAACCCATAGAAAACAACATTGTGAGAAAATTGGTAGTTAGAACGAACAAATTACACAGTTTAACCTGGTACTCCGAGTTGAGGGGTCATCTTTCAGGAGAATTATGACGCCTCATGGCGAAAGCCAATATTCTTAGGAAGCCACGGGGCCAATTTCATTTATAACAACCAGAGAGTCAATTATTATAGGTAAATGGAACGTTCGGACGATGTGGGAGACCGAGAGGGACAATTAAATAGCTATGGAAATGAGGGGATACAACTTGGTGGTTCTTAGAATCAGTGAAACTTATTGAACTCAAGCTGGACAGCAAAGGTTAAGTACAAGATAGATACTGCTGTCCTTCGGTCACGAAGAGAAAACTTCCCCAAACACTTAGAGAAGTGTTCTGATGCTGTTCAAAGAAGCACGTAATGCACTTGTTGGATTGGAATCTCATAGACTCAGGACCATCAAAGCATCATTCAAAACAAAGAAGGAGAGAATGACAATAGATGTTGTCCAATGTTATGAAACCACCTACTATATCAATGACGACAACAAAGATCAGTTTTATGATAAGCTGCAATCGACCATAGCGAAGTGTCCAGTAAAAGACCCGACCATCCTGATAAGAGATCTAAACGCCAAAGTCTGAATGAACAACACTGTATATGAAGATACCATAAGACAACATGGACTGGAGTAATTAGAGGGAAGAAACGAGAGTGGCGAGAGATTCGCAAATCTATGTGCATTCAATAAATTTGTTATAGATGGTACAATATTCCCACACAAAAGCCTTCACAAAGCTAGGTGGGTCTAACCGGATCACACTACAAAGAATCAGATCGATCATATTTGCATCATTAGAAAATTCAGAAGGTCAGTGAAGAACATGAGAACCAAAAGAAGAGATGACATAACTTCAGGTCACCACTTGTTGGTTGCCAGTATTAAACTGAAGCTGAAGAAGCACTGGACAAAAGGACAAACAGCATTAAAAGTACTCAATACAGCCTTCCTTCGACATACTGACAAACTCAACAAATTCAAGATAGCTCTCAAGAACAGGTTCCAAGCCTTATAGAATCTAGTCACAGAAGAGAAAACTACTATGGAGGACAACTGGGAAGGGACCGAAGAAACACTAACTTCAGCGTGTCATGAAATCCTGGGTCGCAAGTAGCATCATCATAAGCAATAAATCTCTATCCAAACCCTGAATAAGATTGAAGAAAGGAAGAACAACAATTAGCAACAGCCGAACAAGAGCAGAGTACGTCAAAGCACAAAATGAGTACACTGAAGCAAACAAGCAAGTGAAAAGCATTAGAGCTGACAAGCAGAAATACATGGAAGATCTAACAACGGAAAAAGCCGTAACAGAAAGGAATATGAGACATTTATATGGTACGACTCAAACTAGTGGGGAAAATATTAAATTGTAGAGGCCAGTCAAGGACAAGGAAGGTAAGCCGATAGCTAGAATTCAAGAAGAGAGAAACAGATGGATAGACCAGCTCCATTGAACCCACCAAACATCAAAAGAGCACCTACAGGTCTTCCTATATATGTCACTCCACCAACAATCGAAGAAATCAGAAAAGCTATCAGACAAATTAAGACCGCAAAAGTAACAGGACCTGACAATATATCAACTGAAACACTGAAATCAAACGGAAGTAACTGCAAACACATCCACGTTCTATTCAGGAAGATTTGTGAAGAAGAACAAGTTGCACTGATAGACTGGAAAGAGGGACACTTCATCAAAATACCAAAGAAAGGAGATCGGAGTAAGTGTGAGAACTACAGATGCATCACACTACTATCGGTACCAGGAAACGTTTTCAACAGAGTGTTGCTGAACCAGATGAAAGATTCAGTAGACGCCCAACTTCGAGATCAACAGACCGGATTCCGTAAGGATCTGTCGATCTCACACACTATGGATCATCATTAAACATTCAGTTGAATGGGATTCATCACTGTAAATCAACTTTCTTGCCTGTGGAAAGACGTCTGATAGTGTAGATAGGAGGAGCTTATGGAGCCTCCTTCAACACCACAGTGTACCTGAGAAGATCGTCAAGACTATCTGGAACTCATGCGATTGACTACACTATAATGTTGTGCATGACGGACAGTTGCCGGATGTATTTCAGGTGAGGACCGGTGTCAGACAAAGTTGCTTACTGTCACCCTTTGTATTTCCTCTCGTGGTTGACTGGATTACGAAGACTTCCACATCTGAGGGGAAACACTCAATAAAGTAAGCAGCCCGGGCGCAACTAGACGATTTGGACTTCGCATATGACCCAGCTCTTCTATCCCATACACACCAACAAATCTAAGTGAAAACAACCAGTGTAGCGCTAGTGTCTGTATCAGTATGCCTCAACATACACAAGGGACAAACCATCATCCTGAAATACAACACAACGAATACCAACCCAATCACACTTGATAGAGAAGCTCTGAAAGATGTGGAGACATTCACGTACATGAGAAGCATCATCGATGAACAAAGAGGATCTGATGCAGAAATAAAGGCATGTATTGGCAAAAGAAGGGCTGTATTCCTATAGCTGAAGAACATATGGAACTCAAAACAACTGTTTACCAACATGGAATTCAGAATCTTCAATACGAACGTAAAGACAGATAGTTTCATTGTACAAAGCTGAAACTTGGAGAACTACCACAACCATCATCAAAAGGTACAAGTATTTATCAACAATTGTCTACGTAAGATACTAAATGCCCGTTGACCGTATACCATCAGCAACAGCCTGATATGGGAGAGAACAAACCAGTTACCATCTGGACAGGAAATTAGGAAAAGACGATAGAGGTGGACAGGACACACGTTGAGGAAATCATTAAATTGCATCACGAGGCAAGCGCTAATTTGGAACCTTGAATGGAAATGGAAAAGAGGAAGACCAAGGAACACATTGCGTCGGTAATTGGAAGCAGACATGAAAAAGACTGCACAGGACGGAGCTTTATGTAGATTGTTGGTGGGTGGTCTACCCACCGCGATGATTACTAAGCATGAGCAGTCGGTAAGTCTTATCATACTGTCAATATGTTTGTCTTCCCCCAGTCTTTATCTCCCCGTGATAGTCTAACACTAGCTGTGTTCAAAAGTCCATGAAACACTTTGTGTTTTGATCAATCGTATAATAATAATATCGAAAATTTTGTCTCGAAAACCATAAGTTACTCGAGGGGTGCTAGTTTACAAGCATGATTACTGTTACAAAAATTGCTGTATGTATCTTGGTGAGCTTTCTTATCCAGTTCAAATAGTGCGTTATAATCAAAGATTTGCTGCAGAAGTAGGATATCGAAATTCTGACGCATGAAAACACAATTGTTGCAGTAAAACTGACATGCATATCGTTAAAACTGGAGCGTCATGTGTATGCTGCATTGCAAAAAATGAACCCTGACAAACCATTTATGTTGTCCTACTAAAGGGACCAAAGATGATCTCATCAATGTAGAAGTGGTTGAGATCGTTGGTGTTCAAACAACTAAACCGAGCACTTACGCAACAAGAACGTATTACGACCTTAGTGTCAACATCAGGCTTAGTCGAATCACTATGCTACAATAATATTCACTTTAAAGCACACAAGCATTATGTAGAGATTATCTGTACTCCAGAATACAAACTGTCTAGGCACTAAATAAGCTGTCACTGACTACTAAAGGAATAGAACTGCCACTGAGGGAGACGGAGAGCAATAACACTGTGGGTGAGGCTCAATATGGACTCAGAATAGCCAGCGCCTGAACATAAGATACTCCCTCCACAGGACAGCTGGCCATGCTGTATCATCATGATCAGAGTGCATACGTACTGGAGGTCCTTAACGTTCGAAGTATAACTGGCAATAAGTCTTGGACATTTCCTCTTTTTGATTATCATGGGATATCTTGTGGCGGTAAATAAATCCCCAAAATAACTAGTTATTTTAAGTCGTCGGCTTTCATACTAACCTTATTCGTTTTACTGGACAGTGACTCATCTGCACCAGGTCACGAATGAGTACATTATGATAGGCATACATTACAAATGTTGGTTAGCCTAGACTACACGCTTCTCGAAACATTGATAGCCTCTCAAATATATCTTAGAATTACTTCACTTCCGAAAAATGATTTGACTGTGCTGGTATACTTCAATCATAAAGGCGTTATTGGTAACTCCGAATAGCTGTGGCATCTTTAATCTCTTAGACTTGGGTGTTTAGCTTGCTGCATTCCTTGCGATTTTACCCAGTACTCTGATAACTATTATTATCACAATTTTTACATACACTACCATTATCGTTAACCTATCCCTCTCACTCTGTCGATTGTCATCCCCGCTTATTTATGCTCCATACATTTTGTTCATATATCTAATTGATTAATTGATATACCTTGGTTATTATCCACCATATACTTTAATAGTCTCTAATTTTACCGTTTTAATACCAAGACCAGACAGTTTTTTGTCAACTAATAGGGTACCATCGGTTTCAGGAACCCCTATTTTCTATGACTAACACACCGGCATACCAAACTGAACCAACTCAGAAAATTGTCGAATGTAACAGTACTATTAAAATCTGTTGACTATACTAACCTAACTGGACACTAATACAGGATTGAAGCTTGTCATCAACGCAGACAGGCGGACGCAGGGAAATCAGTCGGTTTACACAGACTTGTCACAAAGTTATTGGAAAGAAAAGACAATTCGTTATCCATCCTGAGGGAGTTTTATCCTCGTTGGCAATTAAAACTCCCTAACACAATAATTCTAGTTAAGAGATATCGGACTTACATTCGCGAATCATTATTTTATAATTTTGTTTAAGGAGAGGAACGTGTTTTTTGTTTGAGTCATTAAAATCATGGTGATGAAAAGAAACATTTTCAAAATGTCTGATTATGTCCCATTCTTTACAAACAAAAGTGGATTTCCTATTAATGCAGAAACTTGGAAATCAATGTTTGATTTCTGTTTAAAACAAAATAGTGATTGTAAAAAACAGATCACTGATCTATATGAATCCTCTCAAGAAAACGTTACATTAAAAAAACCTGTAAATTAATCACTTCCTCATAATGTTTATGAAGCTTCCTATGTTTAGGGTGAATAAGACTGAGACGGCGGAAATTTTTTTAAATAAAGTACAAAATTACCTTAACAGTCTTGAGTAAGACGTTTTCAATTGTTTCATTTTGTTTCGTTGTGAATTTAAATTTGTAGTTTTTGTTTTCTCCATGCTTAAACGAATGAGAAATAGTTCAATTTAACTTTTGTTTTTCAGCACCTCAATTGTTTACTTCTCTTAGGTTTGATGTTGTGACTATTAATAGTCACAACATTGTAATAATTATTAGAAAGTTCGGCGAGACTATAATTTATGGACGAACCAATCAAACATAGGCTAACAGGTCTTGGATTTTGGCAAGACATTTATTCATCCACTTGGTTAAACAGCGTTTTGACATTTCAGCTGATGTCACTTCGTGATGAAAACTCTAAATCTAATTGCTAACCCCAATTATCATTTATAAATTGTGATTCTTATTCCCCACTCTGGTTTATAACGTTGATTTAGTCCTGGTTAGTAGGTGAACATTCCGAAGGTCACTTCAGCGTCGCTCCAAGGTCGTCCATAAATTATATTCTCATCCAAAGTTTTTATCCTTCCATTCGTATGTTTGAATATAATTGCCACAAACGTTTCCCTCATGCATATACACACCAATAAAGGTATTAGGAGTAGGCTGTCATTCTAGTAAGTCTCTGTCGTTTGGCTCGTTTACACATTAACCTTTAAAGTACGTCTTAGTTTGAATTAAACCTTTATCTTCTAGACCTTTAGCTCCGATATTGCTTCACGCATGCATATTTTCTCCCTTTGCTCAAAATATATTTTCAATTTCTATTCATTTTTTCTATCAGTTCTGATACAATCATTTTGAATTCTTCTTTATTGGTCTTGTTTTAAGAACTTCAGCTCACTCCCATTTATGCCTGGGCTTAAGTTGATTATGATTGATTTTTTATTCTGAGTTCATGATATTAATATATGTTCTGTCGATATGTTACATTTGGAAATTGTATGTAATATGAATACTCAGGTCTTTCGAGGATGATAAAGGTTTTGAGCTGTTTTACTGGATATTCCTTTGGAATATACTAGTACTATTTCATGTTCTTATTAATCATAATACTAGCTCTTCATTCTCATATTCAGTACTTTTAATGGTGTGTGCAAAAATCTGAACCTAAGTTTAGATTGAGGGATACAAGATTAAGTATAATTGTCTAAACTCGTGTTATGCTTAGTCTTATCAGACTATTTAAGTAAGAACTGTTTCTTCTATTTAAAAGAAGAAATCATTGTTAAATGACATGTATTGGAATATGTGCCTCTTTTTTCTACAGACATTTGACGTTTAGCAAAAAGCTTGCACTTACAGTCAGCTACTTCCTCACTCTGAGATGAGGATGTAAAGGTAGAGTTATCTAGTTAACGTAAGATATCTATGATTTTCGTATGTACAGAGTATTGGTTTGTGAACAAAACTGACTCCAAACGGTGTATTCGGTAAATGTTAATCAAACGTCTAAAAGTAAACAAGTCATACTGTTGAAACGTATGTCATAAACTTCTATTTATTCAGATAAACCTATATTGTTGTTTATTCTTATGACAAGCTATTTGTTTGTTCAAAAATGTAGATACAATTATACTGGAATGCAGTTCTTTCAAGTAAATCGAGGTGCATCTATTATTAGGTAAATCCATTCGACAAAACCTTAATTTAAATTATTTGAATGTATATTTGTTATTTTAACTGCATAGACTTGGGGAGCTTGTAAAAACGATAATGTTAGCTTCACTCCCAATAAAATGTCTAGAGGCAACCATATTAGCCATGTAAGTGAACGTGTTTTTGTATACATAACGATTTTTACATACTTTTATGTTTATTTTCAAGTTTCCTTACACAAGGTCAAGAATACCTAAAACGTTTTACAATGTCCTTCGTTTCTGAATTCAATGGTAATGTGTTTAGACACGTTGTGCTTGGAATATACTCATCCAGTGGTTTATTTGGTGCATTGGGGTTGAGTCGACGAGAAAATCTGATGTATAAACCGCTTAACTTTCCAGTAATGAAAATTGTCATATTTTTATGGACTGTTTTTAATAACCGTAAATAAATTTCGTATGCTTGTTTTTAGAGTCTTTCTTTACTAATAAATAATTATACTGAAGCATATCATGGTCATTATCACAAATTATTAAGAGTGAAAATTGGTCTACCTATCTCACATCGACCTTACATGTTGGAGAAAATCCCTTGGAAGGTAAGTCAAATTTTATTTAAGAAACAGAATAATGTGGCACACACCTCTATATTACAGGGCGTCGTTATTCCATTTAACAAAGGATATACTAAAAAAGATATAAACAACATTTTGGATCAATATTCACGATTTGTGAGTTTCATTATGATTGCAGCAATTTCAAATGTTATTAAATAATGTTTTGGTCATAAGAGTTTACACTATCAATCCTGTTTAAAAGCTTTAATTATAACCGACTAACATTTACAACAAGTACTCACAATATGAATCAGTAATTAACTTATCTAGGTGTCAGTAAAATTATATGGGTTTGGTTTAGAGGGGTAGGGAAAATTTCTGTTCATAAAGAACCAAAACTTAGTAAATAAACATGTATTAATTTTTGGATTCATTCAGTCACGAGTGTAAGAATTAGGCACTCATATTACAAAATTTTAACAACCTCTGAAAATTTCTGATAAAAAAACTTGTAACAATATGCCAAAAAGAACAACTTTCGTTTGCAGTTGGTTGGATGATTACACTCGTTCAAATAATGTTTCAAGAGTTATGTAAATCGGAGTAATAGGTACTAGATAACATGACCTTAATTATTTAGTGGAAATATACCCGTCTTAAGAGGGTAAACTGCAGATTAAAAGATAACTCATTCCCTGATTTCTACACCAAATATCAGTTATAACTAGTATAAGCCCTAAGATAGACGTACATTAATGGATGCTGCCATGCCACAGTAAAATGTAAGGGATGAATAGAAAAGAAGTTGAATACGGATTATATTAAAAGTTTAAACATAAAACGTTTTGTATTCAAATAGGAGGTATTGATTCATTGTGCGAAAGGTAAGAGGTGATACTCAAAAAGATCAGTTTTTAGTTGAGTCACCAATCATCTACAATAACCTCACCTGTTATTTCCATGATTTCGTTTCTTTTACAATCGGTTTGAAGTATATGCTGGACGCTAATCATTTCAACATTTGCAGAGACCACCACACTTTTTCTAAAGGTAATCATGAAGTTACATTCTGCGATTAGTAAAGTATTTTCCTCAGAGTAGAAAATTCCTTTTGATTACCAAGTTTAGCACACAACTGCAGAACCTAGTGAGAAATTTTTAAAAAGAATATTCTTCATTTATGTATCTGTATTGTAGATATTCATCACCATCTCACACACTTTTTGAAAATAAATGTCAGAAGATATACGGCGTTTAAGCCAAGTTTCTGCCAACTATTCATCATTGTACAGCTAGTTTTGTACTAATTACAAACATTCAGTTTCTAAGGTCATCGCAAATATAGTAATTTTTAATGTATTTCCTCCTTACTAATGTAAAACGGTGTAACTAATTTATTTAGAGTCATCAATACAGCAATGAAATTTCAAACTTCGAGTTTGCTCAAATATCAGGAGCTACAGGGTCCTGATAAGTGATGAAGTTGAATAGAATATTTGTTCAGTGCCCATTGGCCACTTTAATCATTCATCAGATAATTCTATGTCATATTGAAAATTATGTTTGGATTATATTACGAAGCTAACTCATGGATTGTTAGTTAGGTAATCACTTAAGAGCAAGAGGTTCCAGACAGCTATTTCACTCCAAGATGGGAATATACAGTAGAGTGTTCCTCCGCAAATCTAACCAAGGATCTGCAAGTTCGCGGTGGACGTTTAACCTTTAGACCACTGAAACAGCATCTGGGAGTGAGAATTTCCAACTTCAACTATTTCACAAAACTACAAAACACATCTTCCACTGTCACTGGTTAAATACTACCACCTCATTAAAATCTAGCCCGTGATGCAAACAGTGAAATTTATTAATCCCCATACAATAATAAGTTGGTTATGACATTTTCATTTGGTTTAAGATATTTCAATCATACTGTGATATGTCTGGTCAAGGTGACATGTGAACGATCAGTGTTAAAAGTGACTGGATGTAGCTACACTGAATATATGAGGCTGTTTGAAGCTGCTAAATTCTCTCCGCTTTTACTCTACTGATTCCATTCCATGTTATGTGTTGATAAGTTCTTATTGGTTCAATACCTGGTTCTCATTAGAAAGGTCGGATTTAAATGAATCTGTATCGGGGAAATTTATCGGCCATGAAGTAATCAGAAGAACAAAATGTACCTTTTCTAATCCCTAAATTTCATGTACATAAATCTTTCTATATCCGTTTACTCTTGAATAATATTTAGTTACGAGGCTCAATTAATGTGATTGTTAAAAAGAGTCTACCAAATATATCTTCAGATTCATTCAAAACAACAAAAAAACAACAAAATCCTTCCTATAGAAAAGTAATACGTTTAAGTATGGTTCGAAATAAATTAGACAATAAAGTCTCATCATTGTTATCAACTTCCAGTACCTGGAGAAGTGTTACAAATTTACCAATTAATAATTCAAAAATGGGAAGGTAATTCAATAATTTGTCATTTTTTTTTAATAAAGCCAAAACAGTAATTGAGGCGGAATGCTATGAATCCACTGTATTTCATAGCTTCTCATCAGGTTCTTACAACCATATATATATTAAAATCAATCACTGATGTATTATATAATGTGAAATTGACATTGATGCCGGAAAGAATCAGGATAACAAAAATTATCAGTAATGATCACGTATAGATTTATATGTGTAAGAATAGGTTTAAAGTCATTTGGAAATAGAGTTCAAAAAGTATAGAGAGGGGTGGGTGAGGTAGTAATTAATGGAAGTCCGTAAACAAGCAAGATAGATTGTGTGATAATTATAAAGGTTGTGGAGAGTTCACATAAGATTACAATAACTTGAAAATAGAAAAGACATTTAGTAACTATGATTCAATTAAGATTTCTTGTGGGACTTTTGGTTGTTTGGCGACTGCCTCTTCATAGTTTCTGCCAGCAAAATGGTTCTGCGGGTGGGTTTCGACGGAGTGCTATACATTACTAGTGTGGATCTCCAGTAGTGCGGATGTTGGTGCACATCATGGTTTCACCGTCAGCCGGGATGATGGAGAGGTATTATCCTTTCTTGTTCTGTTTGTATAGGAATAGCTCTGGCCGTCTTCCGGGGGAAGGGTGAGTAAACCCAATCCACTTGCTAAGGTTGTTCAGAACGTCCTTGTTTCCAAGGGCTGGTTTAATGTAAATTTACAGGTAGAGGCATACCTATCCGAAACAGATTGCCTGCACCAGTTAGGGTTCATTTGGTTAGTTGGAGAACTTTCTTGGGAAACATCCCTGATTACTTACGAAGTATGGGCCCATGAGTGCATTTAAGAAGTAAATGTAAAATAGTTTACGCCGATTAGACTTGTATTAGATCGGATCGGACATGTTATTCCCATGCATTTTCCTCTTCTTATTGTCTTTAAAACAGACTATTTAGAAAAGATTATACTTTGTCGTATAGTTTCATAAAGGCTGTGAATAAGATTAGCAGTAAAATTCTCACTCCACCTATGAGTATAATGATGAACATATATTTAAACCAGTATGGGGATTTGTGGTATTTTTACGGCTTAATTCACGAGTCGATCAAAGCTAGACCACCATTAAAAACCTGGAAGCATTAGACGGACTTGTCCTAATATAGGACTCCTCAGCAGTGCGCATCCACGATCCTGCATGCTGGACTCTAACCCACGATCTTCGGTCTCACGCACACACATTTAACCCTTAAACCAATGAGTCGGCATTCAACGATGTTAATGTCTAACATCAATCGATCCATAGTCTTGAGCAACTATTTATCTATTGTCTGAGTTGGATAACTGTCTCGCATCCGACACGGATTTGAGTGGTCACGGCTTATCACTAGAACTCCAGGAGCTTCATTCTAAAGCGAGTCACTAGTGAGCATATGACTATTATTAGTGTGGGGATTTGTGAAAATTGTAGGATTTCCATAGTTAAATTCACGAGTTGATCTAAGCTAGAGCACCACTGAAAAATTTATACGTAAAAAAGAAATACTACGGTTAATAAAATCACACTTTTTTTTCTTTTAGAAGCCAGACATCAAAAAACTCTTATCAAGTACGAATTTGACAGTCAATTATTTCTATCAACAAATGCGAAATACTTTATTAGTATGTATTACGAAAATTTTGATGTATCTATGGTCTGCTATATATATAATACATATTAGGAAAGCAGACAGTTTTTGATGAGTTATTAATTAAATAAATGAATGTTATAACACTGGAAGCTCTCAGATCTTAGACAGGTTTACCCAAGTTTTTTATTTGTATTTTTGCGTGGTCTGTTTTGGTATGTAAAACTGTTTGGTGAACTAATCTGAGCATAGATGTTTAAAGAAACTGAATTTGATGCTACTAAGAATAGTATCTGTTTAAATCTGGAATCAATATTATGACATGAACAATTAGCTGTTAAAATATCATTTACACTGTTTTCATGTATTTTGTAAGTTTGTCAAGGTTCGCTATCAGTTCTTCAGTACGAAAATCAAACTATAATAGTTTCGGAAATCCATTCGCACGAGTTTAGAAATATTCCTGTTTGGAATCATAATAAGGTTGTAAGTAGTTCTTTAAAATCATTTGATTGTACATTATTTAACTGCACATTAATGACTTCGTTGCTCAAATGGCGTTATAGGAGACTGCGATTTGATGACCATATTGAAATTTACTTAAACTTGCGATACAGCATTGTATACTACTCAATGCATTGTAATTACTCTGAATTACTTATGAAAAGTTGTCAACAAGCGAAAAAGAATTAATCTTTAGTGACTTATATTTTCGACACAATTACACCTTAACAATTAAGCATTAAGCGTATCTTCGCATATATATGGGCGAACATAAAATAGTTTTATCGTTAAATGCAATTACTAGTTAGTGAGAGTCTTACCTTCCCAATGAATGAAAGGATTTCGACCAGTTAACTAATTGTGCGCAGTTTTCTCTAGGTTAAGTGAACCATTACTATCCTTGGATTTGGCCTGACAATTTCATCTCTCCGCGCTGATGGGGTATAGCAACTTTAATCGATATACATACATACAAGTTCTATTATGGGCTTGACTGACCTCTTACCTATTCTTGACGTATTTCAAGACATCGACCCTTGAATGCATTCATAAAATCCATGTAATTTTTGCGTTCAAGATACCAAAGAAAGAAGATTTGAGCAAATGTGAGAATTACAGAGGCACCAGTTTGTTGTAAGTTTTCAACAGAGTATTGATGAGCCGGATGAAAGATTCAGTAGACGCTCGACTTCGAGATCAACAGGCTGGATTCCGTAAGGATCTGTCGCGCACAGACTGAATCGCGAAACTACGGATCATCGTGGAACAAACAGTTGAGTGGAATTCGTCACTATACATCAACTTCATTGACTATGAGAAGGCGTTTGACAGTGTGGACCGGAGAAAATTGTGGAAACTTCTTCAACACTATGGAGTTCCTCAAAGGATTGTCAACATTATCCAAAACTCATAAGATGGACTACAGTGAAAAGTCGTGCGTGGAGGACAGTTGACAGATGCATTTCCAGTAGGGACCGGAGTCAGACAAGGTTGTCTACTCTTCCCATTTCTCTTTCTTCTAGTGATTGACTGGATTATGAAGACCTCGACATCTGAGGGGAAGCACGGAATACAATGGACATCTTAGAATCAATTAGACGATTTGGACTTCGCAGATGACCTAGCCCTCCTCTCTCATACACACGAACAAATACAGATGAAGACACAAATGTAGCAGCAGCCTCTGCATCGATAGGCCTCCACATACACAAAGGAAAAAGCAAGATCCTGATAACATAACACGGAGAACACTGACCCAGTCACACTTGATGGCGAAACTCTGGAAGAGGTGGAAACATTCACGTACCTGGGAAGCATCATTGATGAACAAGGAGGATCTGATGCAGACGTAAAGACGAGGATTGTCAAGCCAAGGTCAGCATTCTTTCACCTGAAGAAGTCGAAACAAACGTCAACTAACTTCAAAGTGAGAATCTTCAATACGAACGTCAAGACAGTCCTTCTGTATGGAGCTGAAACGTGGAGAACTACTACATCCATTATCAAGAAGATACAAGTATTTATAAACCGTTGTCTACGCAAAATACTCAACATTCACTGGCCGGATACTATCAACAACAGTGTTTAATGGGAGAGGACAAACCAGCTACCAGCTGAAGAGGAAATTAGGAAAAGACGTTGGAAGTGGATCAGATATACATTAAGGAAATCATCAATGTGCATTACAAGGCAATCCCTAACTTGGAATCCGGAAGGGAAGCGGAAAAGAGGAAGGCCAAAGAACACATTACGCCGGGAAATAGAAGCAGATATGCTAAGGATGAATAACAACTGGAAAGAATTGCCCAGGACAGAGTTGGATGGAGAATACTGGTGTGCGGTCTATGCTCCTCGACGAGGGGTAACAGGCGTAAGTAATTTCTGCATCACTTACTTATTCGTATGAATGATCAACCTGCAAAAAGTAAACTAAATAATAAAATGTCTGGATATTTTGTTAGTTCAATATCTGTCAGATAAGATTACCGCTCGATCAAAATGTTGATTAAAACACTTAATCGAAAGTAACTCCCCAAAGGACATCTCACACTAATGCCATTCAGTGGTGAAACAACGAAAAAACAGAAGAAAGTCTTTTAAACTTTATTTATATCAAATTAATAACTACCACTGATTCAGTGTAGAAAACCATTAGGGAATGGTATAGGATGTTCAATATTTGTAAAGCACATTGAGCTAATGACTTCGAGTAATCTATGACATTACAAGTTAAAACAATATTAAAATTATTACAGAATAGGATTACTACTTAGTTATCCAATGTCAACAAATTGTAAGTTTTCTTGTTGGGACTTTAGAATTATAGCTATTCTATTCGTCAATATACCAGATAGCCAAATACAAATGTGTGAAAGCTACTGTGGCTAAAGAACTTTTCAAATAGAAATAGACAAAGCAGGATTCATATTACCAATAGATAATGATAACCTTAGCTGAAAAGTCTGATAAACTTGTTAGGAGATCTCGATAATTCCTCGGAACTGTCTCCAGCAGTCAGGCAAGTGATAAAAGGACTCTGACTAAAGAGTGGTCTTTAAAAACTTCTAGGAGAAATCTAGAAAACGACATCCTATTTTTATTAACCTAACTGGTCAGTTGTCGAATCAATCATTAATTTTGTGATGTTTCTTGGAGGTACCTAGAGTCTCAAGATACCATCTAACCTTATATATACCCCTACATTATGTATGCAAACTAAGTTTAAAGATAAAGCCTCTACCACATTTCAAACTTTCGGTTCGGAATCGAAGATTAGTAGACTTTTAAGATCTAGGAGGTGGTGGATGTTTAAACGCTCTACACACTAAAACTGATAAGTGATATAGATATTGATTGGAAACTCTGAATGGGATTCTTTTTAGGTAATACAATAATGCTTGGACTTAAAAACTTATTTTAGGAAGGTTATTCAGAGTCATCCTTTTCAAAATCAGTTTCCTGAATCGATAATTGTTGCATTAGAAGATATGGTTCGATTCCTATGAACATGATTGCATTTTCATTAGCCGATAAAACATTTCTCAGCAAAAATAAAGCGAAGACAAACAGTAGTCATAATTCTAGAACATTATTTAAATAACAATTATCTAATTATTAGAAATACTTGCGAAGTGAGCTATATTTATTTATTTGAACACATAAATATTGGTACAAGGAAGCACCAGATAAATATGCGCCTCACAAATCTCATTCGATTTGTATGAGGGCTGTGATACTGCCCAGGTGCCCAGATTGAAGCAGGTGGTTTTCTTAGGGGGCCACACTCGGAGCCTTTGACCTAAAGGTCTAGTCCACAAGGCAGTGGAGCATCGTAAGGAGATGCAGTCACATGGTAGCCGGTGGTCAACGATTGATTCGTACGCCATTTGTTCCCTCAGGGTACTGGAGCCCATGTGCACCATTGGTTTGGAATCAGGGTTTTCCAACTCCCCTAGGTGGACCCTCCACATCCACCAACCCGGTTAAAACGCCGGACATTCGATTTTCGTTCTCTCACTTTTGTGAACGACACCGGTGCCACGAGAAGGCAGTGAGTAGGACTTCCCTGGTAGAGGCTATATATTCGCGTGGCCATATGAGAGCATTTGGGGAGGGAGAGCAGACTCTCCCCACTCTCGGCCGTACCAGGGCATTTGGGGGCAAAGTGTATCATAAGAATGCATTTTGCATTCCGTACAGTAAAAATACATTAGCTGATTCAATATTTATTTATAAATATAAGTAAAATAAGAAATTTGCAAAGGCTACAATATGACTGAGAAATCCCAGATTGTACCATTTATTCATAGTATGCCACATATTATAGCCCTGTTGAAAGAAAAAACAGTCACGAGAAAGTAATAAGTAATGTGAATTATAGTTTAGTTAAAACATATTTAAATAGACAATAATCCAAAACAATATTTAAAACTATGGATAAATCAATAAGGAACTTATATGGAAATTTCATAATTTTAGGATATATTAAATGAGATATTCTTGCTATTAAGATTACAAGTGATAGCCGGTCCTCCTAACTAATATTTTAAGTCTTTTGCCATTCATCTTGTTATTTTCACCTCATCGTGCTGATGTGATGTCGCAACTTGAGCCGATGCACATATGTGCCAGAACCTATATAGATTACATGCAATTATATTCAAAATTAACCAGTTTTCAACATATCAAGAATATTACAATTATTTATAGACAGTTGTGGAGATCAATTAGTTTCTTTGAGATCATGAACTGATCAATACTAAACCACTATTGAAAACGTAGAAGCACTGGATGAATGGGAGCTTGTTAAGCCATATCGTGGATTGATTGAAGTTAGACATTAACATCGTTGGATACCGGCTCAGTGGTTTAAGGGTTAAACATTCGTGCGTGAAACCGTAGGTCTTGGGTTCGAGTCCAGCATACAGGATCGCGGGTTCACCCTAATGAGGAGTCCCATACTCGGACAAATCGATCGTCGATTTCTTTCAGGTTTTAAATGGTGGTCTAACATCAAACAGTTCATGATTTCAGTAGAATATTATAATTGTTTTAACAAATCAAATCAACGGGGCCTATGACCTCACACCTTTCAAACTTGAGTTGTATTAGGGTTGGATGTGTTATATTCATATGGAGAAATATGTGGTTGAAAACTCGTTTGGATAGTTATCAGGATCTGTGAGGAAGTCTTTAGAAAAATAAGCATTATTCCGCTCATTTTTATTGCTTTAAATCGCTAGTTACGTAAAATAACATTATACCAGTTAAAAACAGAAAGATTTTATGATAACTATGATAGATTTTCTAATAAAAACTACAACACAATAGTAAATGATATTAATTGTGTATAACATGGTAAACGATTTATCAGTCTCCTTAAAAATTTTGCTACTGAAGACCAGTGAAAGTTCAAACAATTTACCAGCTCAAAGACATTAAAAGCAAGTCAAGTCACTTTAATTTCCAATGTAACCACCACAAGAGTTCACCTATTCTTCTTCAAACTACAACTAAATAACTACTGTCCAATGGTAGTTTAGTAAAATCGTACTTTACGTTTTTATTTCTACTGAAAAAATACCAATCAATCTGACTGGTAAGTATCAAACACAACCTTACGAGGTTAACTCTGGATATTTCACTTCTCAGCCAAATGAGTAACATTTTTCTCCATCTCAATTAAATTAATGAAAAACTAATGTGTCTAACTGGCATGCAATATTAAGTTACATCGTATAGAAGAGTAGATTGTTGGAGAGTCTAAATGAAAAATTCAAAAGTGTAGTTATGAACATTACACATAATCAACTACAGTGCTGATAAGTATACATTAAAGTACCGGGGATTATATGAGTCTGATTAAAATTACATATATACTAGGTTAATTATTGTAAAGAAATATAAAATCAAGACCAGTGAATCCAGTAAACATAAAGATCTTCGAGTTGAAAAGTTTATTAGTGTTTATATTAAAGGTTTATAATGAATTGTAAAGCAGGAGGGAGAGAGCATATTTAATCGACCTAGTAAAGTCGAAGTATAAAAGGAAGATAATGGTGTCGGGATAAAGTTCCCACAATGATCATTAGTCTGAAATATATATATATATATATATATATATATATATATATATATATATATATGCATATATGCAGGTTTAACTTAATGTCATACCTGAAATTGTTGTTCACTTGTATCAAACATTACAGCTAAATAAGCCAAATGAAATATAGCCAAACAACTGAAGGCAACATTACACCAATATACCCAGAATGAATTCTAAAAACAATCAGATAAATGAATAGAGTTTGAATGTATGTGTAAGAAGTGATGGAATTAGTAACACTTTTAATTAAAAAAAACTTTTAAAAACAAACATGCTAAATAAATCAGTGTAAATTCAAAATAAACTGAGACTATCATCCACAGAGAACATTCAACAACTAAAAATCATAAGTACAATTCAAAATTTAATAATGCAATAAATGTGCCAAGAATTTTGATTTTGTTACCAAGGGAATAAAACATTAAATTTTAATCTATATACAATAAATAAATAGTTAACTACGGTATCAGAAAAAAATATACCTGTCGTAAGGTTTTCATAAAATTAGGTAGTGACTAGATGCGAAATTTGGAATGTGTAGTCAATCCTACTTGGAACTTATCAGTTTGATGAACCAAAATTCTAGTGTTGATATCCATACCTGGACTCGAACAAGACACATTTTAATGACTGCAAAATATGAATTGTATCTAAGATGTGTATATTTCGGACAGGCTAATGTTGCACGGCAGAAAAGCTTATATAAGATGCAATGATTAAATAAAACATTGTGATTCGATAATTAATTGCCTTAGATATTGATAACGTTACTCTTTAAAAGTCATGTAACAAATACAGGAAGGGGACAGATACAGACGTACTATCGTACACACAAGTACAAACCATGATCAATGTTACACCCGAGTAATAGAAAATGCTCGATATATATATAGAATAAATTACTCGTCCAAAATTTAGAGTAAATCGAGTAGGTGTGTGACAATGCTAATTACTAGATCTTTTGCTTCAAACTATAAAGCATTATTCACTAAGCTACTGAGTCAAAATAACCAGCTGAGTAAAACGACTTTGAATCTTTTCCCAATGTTAGCTATTATCCAAACTTAATAAAAACGTTAGGCAAAGTGGGACTATCGAGGTTATCCACTCATGATTCATATATCAAAAAAGATTCTACTGTAAGCCTTAACTTCAAAGATGGGAACAGACACAAACTTACAAACAAAATATACTCCTAAGATCCAGTATTTTATTATTATCTCTAAATTCTCAGAAATAAATATAAAATACTTTCTGAATATTTACATACGTTCAACGTTTTAGTTTGATTTTTTCTTAAATAAAACAAAGTGAAGTCAAGCTCATAGCTTTACTGTTATCGGTGTACATATGTCTGAAAACACAAACGAAATCTAGTTTACTTTTAAACATCAAGACCTGATTATAGAGATTTACTGATATGTTCATATCATAAAATCGTTCATAGGACGTATGAAACGCATATGTATAGCTTTTTATTCTGGTACACGTAAAATAGCCAAATCATAAAATTTGTATTACCTTGTTACTATGACAACAGGATTCAGGACATGGACGACTGGCAATACATGCATCTAGAATCTTGGTCAGTTTTTCCCGAAAGACTGTAAGGAATATAGAAATGCTCAATTTATTTGTTGTAGCAAACAATAACTCAAAAAAGTGCATGTTGTTAATCGTAAAAATGAGTAACGAAGTAGTCAAAATATGGTTTACTATAGATGTTGTGAGACGCTAGAGTTGACCTTGGAACGGTTATGCCATTTATTAGCCACAAAGATTGGTTAAATTAGGAATCTTTTGCTTAATAAATAGCGAAGCTTCAACATACATATTATTTTTAAATGATTTATAGACTTCTCAAGGCGTTTAATTAGTTTTCTCATCTTGAAATCGAAGAAATTTATGTTTTGGGACTCATCTATTTGAACTCAGATGAATTACCATCTGTACTTTTTATAATGTCCGAATTCATATTATTAAAAATTCCACACAGACAATATAATCTTAATGAACAACTTTTGCGGAGTGATGTTCTGAGAAAATAATACGGAAAGCAGATATATAAAAATATCGACTAGTCGAAACACATACTCCATAAGATTGATTGTTAATCACAGCATCATGTTAAGTACAGTCAGTCTCATGAAAAACACTTGAATTCAATTTGTATACAAGATTTCTACCCATCAAATATCTAATAATAATCGAACTATGACTTATAATTTAAAGTAGAATATTCAACAAATACCACATAGGATTTAATGAAAGTTAGACGTTTCAGGTAATGGTAATTTAGTTATGTTTGTAAAGATTTCCTTTTGATACTTTCATCTTTTATCAGGTATTCAGACATCAATTGGAAGATTCATACAAACAATACTAAGTGAATTTAAACTTTACCCCATTGCACAAGCAAGTGGCTATCAGGATTCAGTGGCCGAGTGGATAACGCGATGGTGCTTGAAGCGAAAGATACTGGGTTCGAGTCCCAGAGTGAACATCAACTCTAAGATGCAGGTACATCCAGCTGACGAGTCCCAAATAGGACGAAACGCGCGTCCTGGATTCCACTGCAAGCCACTATCCATCTTTGCTTACAATGCTTGTGGATTTAGGCTATATCGAGGCAATACGTACAGTATGCCTATATGCCTATTAGAGACTGACCAGTTGCAGTCCTAAAACATCAATGAGAAGATTCAAACAAACGATACTAAGTGAATTTATTCATACAATTAATATGTTAATATATTTTTTGCTGTCTAGGGTTAATTTTAAACTACAATTAGGTAGACATATCATTTATTTTTTTTGAACTATATTCACCATGTCTTAGTAATGCTAATTATGACTAACAGTAAAGTTTAAGAAGCACGTTTAGTCTTATTTGGAACTCATCAGCTAGACACATCTGTATCATAGTGCTATTGTTCATCCTGAGATTTAAACCTTGTACTTATCTCTTTAAATGCCAGATTCTAATCCACCTAGCTACCAAATTCTGATAACCTACAACCTATTCAACGGGAATGAACTAATATATATAGGTTTGTGTCATGTCTGGTGAATACTTATTTAACTTGTGCTTAGTACGACTATCCTGAATTCGAAAATGTATATTGAGAACACAAAAGCTAGTGATATGGATTTATTTGATTCTCAAAATAAATCACAGGGAAGTATGAATAGATTATTTTTCCTACGATTTATTTACAAACAGATCTGTTTAGGCTGAACTAAGTAGTATTTAGCATCTATAATTAATTGAATTAATTATAATATTAATTCTTAGGATGTGATTACATGTCTCAAAAGACTGGGAAACAATCAAATTGATATATTACACATACCCAAATTGGTTAGGTCATTTACTTGCCATATCAGTTTGCATTTTCTTAATATTTATGTTGAAGACTGTAATCGATGAATCTCTACTGATATGCATGCGTCTTAATCGGATTGACTTAATATTTCGATTACTCTGTGTTTTATTTTTTACTATTATTGTTACATCCTCTACTTGATTACGGCAGAATACAATATACAAATAATGGCACTCGAATGTATAGAACCTCCACAGTTGCAAATCAGAAGACGGAAAAAGCAGGGAAGTGATTATTGGATAAGAATCAAAAATGTACAGAAAAACACGGGTTGGCTATAGAACTTTTATGATTCAGGTATCAAGCTATCATCCAACCTTAGCATGCTACGTTGATATTCTAGAAAGCTCTGTCACGCTCTGATTGAATGGAATCTCTTCGGCTCCCTTAGAGCATCTGGAGGCTTTGTCGTGCCTCTCAAAGCTGTCCCAACAATTATTGATACTACTATTACCTAAATCTCTTTGATCCATACTCTGCCGACTTCCTCAAACTTTAATACTATGAATTGTGACAACCTAAACCAATATACATTTGTATCGTGTCTTAAATTTTTGTGATTGCAGATTAGATGTACGTTCTTTTTGAAAGTGGTCTTCCTTTTAAAAAAAGCTGGACTCTAGTTGGAACAAAAACAAGTCTGAATATCAGAAATTTGCAAACAACTATTTATTCCACCAAAATTAAAGAAACTTTTATAAGCAACTATTCAATTGAAATTTATAAATTCACAGATATTAATGAAGGGTTAAATAATGAAGCCAATTATTTATTCAGCTGTTTTAACTGTAAAAAATATTGATTATTCTGTAATCTTTTGTGTTTGTTTGATTTGTTCAGTTGACGTTTAAAAATTAGCTTGGTTTGGTCGAACTAAGCGACTCCAATAGTTTTATCATCAAGTAATATGGTGACAAATAATTAAAGTATATGAATGAAATCTACCACTGTCACTGTGTATCTTACATACTTACCATATTCAATATATGCATAGATTCCAATAGAGAATAAAACAGCGCTAAGTTGAAAATTTAAGCCCTAGAAATAAAGGTGAAATTATAAAAATGGCTGTTACAAAGTGTTGTTAGTAAGTTTCTCTAAAAAGCTTCTACAAAACTGAATAGCGGTCCCATAGCGAGAATGATACCTATACTAAAATGAATCGGTGGTTCAGTGGTTAAGGTACCCAACTTATAATCGAACATCATCGCAGATTGTTTGAACAACCGGAAAGTAAAACTGGCTCTGAGACTTAGAGTGTACCTTGAAATTAAGTACACGAATCTGTACCTCTTAACGGAGTAAACCATAACCTAATGAACACTGCCTTCAATTTAATTTTATTAGCGATAACATGCGGTCATTATCGAGAGCTATCATCAATGATACTCAGTTTCGGCATGGTTGAATGATACGGAACACGAGAATCCATCTGGAAGCTAGTCACCAGGAAATTTACAATAAATTTCAAGCAGTTTTTTTTAGAAACTTTCCGGTCTAAAGTCCGTTTTTATCAGAAAGTGACGTAAATACCCATAAACATTTTACAATTGTGTTGTAGTAAATTTGACTGCAATTTTATTAAAAGTGAAACTCTATAAAGCAGTTGACTTTCAATTCTTATCCCGAAAAAAAGATCGAATTGATAAATAATTACATAAAAAACAGGAGAATTTATCATCTTACATGCAATAATGAACTAGCGGTATACGTTCCCAATATAGCATACACATGTCCATATGGACGTAACGGCTTGTATACATCTAATTAGAAGGAAAAATCCTGGCATTCAGATTATTAAAGAAATCATTAAAAAAAGGTATATCTCAAATAAATGTAGTTATTTGTAGGATGTATTTGCCAAGGGTACCTTATTTGGAGTTCCACAATAAACCACTAAACATTGAACAGATATTTCATCCTAGTATAGGACTTCTCAATAGTGCGACGACTGAGTAAGTATTCGTAGTGAGACATATATTAAGGAAATCAACAAACTGCATCACGAAGCACATGCTAACTTGGAATCCTGAAGGGGAACGGAAAAGACGAAGGCCAAAGAGCACAGTGTCGGGAATGGGAAACAGACATAAAAAGGATGAGTAGGAACTGGAAAGGATTGCTCAGGACAGATTTCGATGGAGAAGGCTGGTGGGCGGCTTATGCTCTTCCATGACGGGTAACAGGCGTGAGTAAGAGTTAGTTTTGTTTTAAACAGGTGGATTTAAATACATTAATTTATCTATAAACTGTCAATGACGTCCGTATTTCCCACTTAGTATGAAGTGTAAACATGCAGATACATAAGACATTTGAGTATAATATATAGTCCGAAATAATGACCATATGTTCTAATTAACCCTTGAATTGAATAAAATGCACATCCTGGAGAGCACTATTAGACACTAATCAAAATATTATATGTTATTCCATCATTTAAAATAAAAATATTGTATTCTCTAATGAAAGACTAAATAATCATGACTTACATTGTTTTAACCATGTATGCATTGGCAAATTCCAGTAAATAACAACTTCAACTAACGACCGAGGAAATTCAATAAACAATGGACGAGTTACCATAACAGGTCTGGTAAAAAACGAAAAAGTGAAAATAATGACAAAACTTATTCTTTGTTGTGTTTAGTTTATGAAATGCAACGAACTTGTACCTAACCGATTAGATATTATTTTATAATAACAGTTGCATAAAACACTATAAATTAAGCATTATTTTATATTTAATTCGACTAGTACTTCGTTAACGATGGAACATGTTGGTTTATGTAATCTACTGAACAGAATTTTAAGGAATTACACAATATCTATGTTGTTGTAGATTTATTACACAAAGGAAGTGTATGATTAATCATTTTATGTAGGAGAGATGATACAAATGAGGTGTAATCGACTAGCAAGTGACTTATTCAATTTAAGATTTTCAGGACATAATCAGTTTGAATATCAGGTTAAACTAGTTGGAAACTGAGCAAGATTTATCGTTTTCTTCATGTCAACCTAAAGATTTTTATCAGTGTGCATTCTGGGATAGAATAAAGAACTTTAAAACCTAGTAAATGACTTATTACTGTATCAGTAGTTAATAGTAGATATTTATAAACCTCAGTCATATACTTAATAGTTGATGAGTCGAAATTGAGTTTACAATCGGGGAAATGAAAGATACAATTCTGAGAAGTAAATCCATAATAAGTAACAAGCTGTGCAATAGTTAGTTTCCAAGTAGTATTTATTTAAAAATAATATTCACAAACACATACTAAAAAGTATTAAAGAGCTTTCATAACTCTAGCAATTAGAACCTTATCAAATATTTTGAAGACTGCATTATTAACATGGATTACGAACAAATTTATTACTGATAACGATAAATGGCATACTTCAGCGTTTCATGCAAATTTTTTCCTCATCACAAATTTGAGGTGTTCAATGGATCGAATAAGTATGAAGAACAAAGAAACAATATGTCAATGAACTAATTATTAACTAAAGAAAGCAAATATTAAACTTACTTGTATACATCTTTTGAATTGTTCTTCTCTTTAGTCTTTTCTTGTTTGTTTGATTTTATTGAATACTTATCACAATATCCTAAAGCTGCCATGAAAGATTCACTTGATATACATGTGAAATAATGACTGAAACGAAAACTTTGTGATGCGAAATAAGCATGAAGCCAACTAAGAAAAGAAAAAAATGAAGAAAAAGGTGTGATTTTATCGAATAATTTTATTTGCACAATGCATGGCCCTATATCAACCAAGGAAAATTTTGAAAACAAAACAAAACTTTCGTAATGACATTAGGTTGGTTTATTTTATGGGTAAGTAAACACTTGAAGTTTTCAGTTTAATCAAACAATAGTTTGTGAATAAAAAATTCTAAGGGGATTCATAATAATACTGAACAGTTTCTCATTGATCTATTTCCAATGAAGGACAGTCCATAATAAAAGGAACAAACGGTTTGTTACATGCGCATCCGATAGTTTTACTTCTCAGTAGTCATGTTCACATATTTAACATTATTATTAACAGAAAATATTCAAGAAATAAAAAAACATTAAATGTAAATAACTGACAACTTAAGTAGTTAGTACTTGTTGAAACGAGATGAATAAATTAAAATAACAAACGTTAAAAGTAATTTCTTTTGGTTAGATTAGCATTTTTATTCCTAAAATTTAGTTATTAAGAGCTTAAATTGAGTGATTTTTATGTATTCCTATTTGTAAGCCTCCATTTTGGCCTATTAATTGTTGTTAAATCTTTTCCTGCTCCCAAATTAACATGAATTATTAATAAACATATCTTCACGGTTTTGTGTCGTAAGTGTCCCAGTTAGGTGCGTGTTGTGATCTCTTGTTTATGATGCATCATGGTCCTGTAATTCATGTATATGATCATGTGAGTTTTCCAGTCAGAGATATACGGACTACATTGGCTGTTATTCTCGAGTTCTAATTTGGCCTTCAGGACAGGTATTTTGTATAAACTAAAAACCTTTAGCATATCAAAACATTTGGTCACAGCATCAATATTACTGATTCAAAAGTAGCAATCTAAAGTTAAGTCAGTGATAAGTTACACTTTCATGTGAGGCTAAGTAGTTACGTTATCCTTCTGCTTAAAGACATAGTGTAGGCGAGGGTTGAGTTCGTACCTGCTACTAAATACTTACGAGTTGATTGGTCTAACAATTAGAATAATTATTATTAAAAAAACGAAATACATGGTACAACCATATCTATGTATTGACCCTATTTTAAAAAAATAATACACCCAAAAGATTAGAAATCATAAACTTACGGTTGCAATTTCAATATCGAAGCTAATGTATCAGTGAAACAAGTCGAATAAGTTAAATATAACAAAGACAGTCCAAATAATTTAGCTGTCTGAAAAAGTGAAATCATAGTCTGTGAGGAAAGAAAACAATAACAATAAGAACAACAACAAATATATTAAAAGAAAAAAACTTGAATAAAAGCATGTTTTCTGCATCAATCAAAATAAAACTGTATTCAAGTAGTATCCGATTGTAAGTGCATTTTTTCATAAGTTATTTTTCTTTTATAAGGGGAGAATTTTCAATAATACTTTATAGAATAAATTCAACTTAGTATTGTTTGTTTGAATCTTTCTATTGATGTTTAGGACTGCAATTGGTCAGTCTCCTATTAGCATATGTGCATACTGTGCGTATCGCCTCGATATAGCCTAAATTCACAGGCGTGGTAAGCAAAGATGGATAGTGGCAAGCAGTGGAATTCAGGACTATCAGGACTCAGTAGGTGAGTGGATAACGCGATGGCGTTTGAAGCGAAAGGTACTGGGTTCGAGTTTTGGAGTGAACATCAACTCTGATATGCAGGTACATCCAGCTGACGAGTCTCAAATAAGACGAAACGCGCGTCCTGGATTCCACTGTTAGCCACTATCCATCTTTGCTTACTTTACAGAATAGTAATATAAAATATAAAAAAGGTGTTTAGGTGATACGTTTTGTGACCTAAGGTTACATAAAGGAAAATAATCATATTGTGATGAATGTATTGTTAATCGAACAAAAGGTTTAGATAAATCTTCTAAAAAATATATTTTATGATGTTACAAATCAAGTTAAATATTGTTATACATTCTTAGTAATTAGCAACATCACAGCCTTAGATATGTAGGAATTATATTTTATGATAACATATAAAGATTACTGAATACAGTAAATAAGATATCGAGATTTCAGTATGAACTGATATTTCAATTAAAGAGTCATCGAAAACCATGGAGTATTGACACTTTTCTACAGCCTTGATTCACAACTGTACCTACATCAAAGAGTGGGTTGAATCAAGCGCATTGAAATCATGAAGGATGAGTGTGATATAGGGTTGAAGGTAAGTTTTGTTAACGAATGCCAAGCAACAGGGGTGGCTTGCCAACTACTTGCAACCATTTAACGTGACCGTGATGCGTTTAAGTCCCTGAGTTAAAATGCAACAGCCACATTTTTAACGTAAGTTAGTTTATGATATGCTGAGATGATTTATATAACTCCTATCGACGATACTTAATTTCAATTATTTAACCAAGTAACTTAATTATTACTGTTTTAGATTGAAATTTCTGAGAATTCATTTCAATTTTAGTTAATACTGAGTACACACAATGAATATTTAGTTCCTTACAGATTGATATCAAAGAAAGCAAGGAGCGGTTGAACCAAAAACGTGGCATCAATCCATGAAGCCATTAACTATTGGCCTGAAATTTTACCAGGCAGCTATATTCAAGGCTTAATCATTTTGATATTCAATTATTTAAAACTTACATTTTTGAAAGAAAAAGGTCTATCATTAATAGCATAGTTCCTAACCATTTCTTCATATCTTAATGGATTAAACCATGGGCCAAACAATAAACTAGCTGGACATAGACAATAGGATAACCAAAGTAATCCACGATATAATGGTGTCCACAGTAGTATGCAGCAAGGCTCTTTATTGACCGTTTTATAAAAATTTTTATTTTCCATAGAAAAAGATATACATTTCATAATAATTATCATTATACTGCCTAGAAACCAAAAAGTCACAAGAAAGTAGTATAAGAAATTAATAGTTAATTAATAAGATACACATATGAAGTATCATTAGTTCTGAATGCAACGATAGATTAAGTTACATGATGTTTTTTAAATACAATGTTTAGTAAAAAAGGAATTATTCATATTCAAACTAAAATTAACATCACATTGAATAATCTTCACAAATCTCCATATTAATGATGAATATGGACTTATTTTTGATCAATGACGAGGTAGATTCGTGAAATTCTGGTGATAAGCTGTGACCGATAAAATTCCAAAAAATGCTGCGAATGTATGATGACGGGCTAGCTATGCTGAGAATTGATTGAAGTTGGAAGCATAGAAGTTATTAAATTCAAACTAAGTGGCTAATTGTTGATATGTAAACAGTGAAACCTGATGGTTCGTGATTTTATCCTGAGTGCATCATGAATTTATACACCGTTTACGGTAAAACAACCATTCAATGAACTCTTGTTTTCAATAAATCTCTGATATTCGTTTATAATGAAAATGAACTTGATACTTTGAAAAAGTATGATAAAAGAATGGAAATACATTCAATGTTTTATAGAAATGAGTCCAAAATCAAATATAACATAACATCTGACTAGTTCAAATAATCAAATCTTAAAACATATTAGGAAGAAATTGGCCTGGATAAATAAACGATGAATGAATACATAAATACGATCAAAAGCTTCAGTTAGATTGATATCATGAATGGGTCAATGTTAGAGCACTACTGAAAACCTACGGGCACTGGACGGCCGTTCCGTCTCATTATGAGACTCCTCAGCAGTGCATATCCATGATCCTGTGTGCAGGACCACCGGTCTCGCGAGCAAACGCTTAACCTGTAGACCACTGAGCCGGCATCCGACGGTGTTATATAGGAATGTCGAGAATAAAAAAATATACATGAGATCAAGTCAAACAATGACCATATAACAGGAAAGTTTAAAAAATCATGTTTGTAGTACTTTTACTTTACAGAAATGGAAGGAAACGATCTTCTGTGTGCATTCTGAAATACAATTGCTGTCATCATGTAGTTCCATCAAAATCACTTACCAAAAACTTGAAAATAACTAATCATACAGTGTGTGTTAGAAAATTTTGAAAAAAATCAACGCCAGTATGACTAAAGTTTCGAAAATTCATAATGTTCATAAAGTAATATAATCACTTGATTCAACTTTATGCCGATCAAAAAGAAGGGACGGCTAAAGAAGACAAACGAAACATAATTTACTGGATAAATTACATCAACAAAGGGAAGGGCTACATTGAACAGGGTGCGCACACCTACCTTTCAGCTTAGTAAAAACAACTATGTAAAGGTAAGCAAACAACTAGGGGCAGGTCCGACACTCAGGTCTGTTTACAGTCAAAAATACACCCAAATGAATTCAATCCGGCATTCAGTGGGGATGAGGTCAATTTTAACCGAAGACTTAGAGGTTAACTTATCAAGATCATCGTCAAGAGGAATACAAACGTGTATGTAGATAACAAGTTTTTCAGAGGTTGAACAATAAATAATAGTGTCATAAAAAACAGAATGATCTGGTACTACTTATGGAATAGTTTTACAAAGTTCATTTTAGTGTAAAACAGTTACTGATGATGTTGACCAGATTAACAACAAAAGATTTACAGTTAAATAATCCAGCCCATAGAATATAATGCAATCAACAAGATCCTATGGACATCTAATCAAGCATTAATTAATAATAAAAGCAGTAACAGAATTCATTAAATCAACATGAAATTAAATAACATACCACGAATTTGATGCCATTTAACAGGATTTTTGTAGAATTCGCTAAATAAGAAAAATATATAAACGTGGTTAAGAAGATGGGCGGGAGGAGATAAATAATAAAACCAAATGATCGAAGAGAAATTGATAGTGTAACAGGTGTTATATGTGTTACATATTCCCCTGTCTTTATTACTAATTATTATTATTATTGATTAATTGTTCTTTGTTGTTGGATTGTGTCGGGTTTCGATGTGGAAATATATTGACGTTCTAGTCAGGCTAATCACGTGTTCTTGATCTCAGTTTTGTTGAAGTCCTGTAGAATAAACACTAGGAGGGAATCTAGTGTAGATATTCGTCTAAAGTAAATTAACGTCCCACATAAGTGTAAAGTAAAAGGACCGTTATAACAAAGAAACCCTACCGTTATAACAGTTTTATTAAAAACAAAATTTCTAAGAAACGAAAGTCAAAATACATTTAAATGTAGTCTATACTCTTGATAATGTCATTAATTTTATTCTTAACTGAAAGACACGAGGTTTACAATACTTGAGGTACAATTAACTTGACGTTAAGTGGCTGAAGGTAGTTAATAAGAAATCCAGTAGAACTAGATTTCACTCTATTTGGTCTCTGAAATTCTGGAGAAACTGATGCACTCCCCTATGGAAAATAATCTCAAATCAATCAGTCACTCAATCCAAGACATTACCCCGAGTTATTTGAGCTTTGGATGATATCTCATAATACTTAAATATTCATATCGAACGATCATTACTGAGTAGTAACTAATGTCATGCTTGCCTGTTTCTTAGTGCTGGTTGGCTTTAGTCTATCAAGTTACATAGTGGCCCTTTAATGTAGGTAACTCGATAACGCATGCATAGTATTGACATTAAGTAGTTGAATGGAATCAACAGGAAACCTTAAACTTAGGTTTCATACTGGCTGGCATTCTTTAGCAATAACTACTGTTGACATTTAATATAAAACGGTAGATGAATTATGTGATAACGTAAATAATAATTTCACATCACATAAAACATAACACACCGGTCTGAGGTAAAGGTATGCAACAAACATATACAGATGTAAGTGCGTTGAGACATTTAAGATATAAAATCTTTTCCTTTATGAGCTGATATCAGTTGATGAATCTTTGATAACCAAAAAGGGACCCAATATCTCCAGACTCTTCACCAGTGACCAAATAAAATCACATTAAGAATCGGAGCAACAAGTGTATTTAGGTCTTATAGAAAGTGTGATATCATATGCCCTATGGAGTGAAGAGTGATACTGGAAACTGACTACAGTCAATAATGTAAGTATTAATTGATGTAAAGATATTTGATTCGATCGTGTGATACATTCTAGGTGAACAATATTGCTGACTCTCAAAGAGCGATTGAACAGTCCCCAAATATTGTACATAGTTTAAGGTAATTATGTGGGGACGGGTCCTGGTGAATTCACGGAAGCTCTGAAAAAGCCGGAGACATTCCATTCAATACTCGTTTGGAAGAACATCCCAGAATCTCGGAGTGTAGCTTCCCAATTGGACAAATGCTGAACACTACTGCCTGTGGATCGGATGATTGTAATGATGATTTTGTTTTTACTAAAAACTATAAATACCCAAGTGTTTTGTATCATGTCTAGATATAACAAATTTTTTCGCTTAGATTATTTTGTGATGAAAACTACTTTAAATTATAATCATGATTTAGTATCAAAATACTTTAAATTCTTTAACTATGGACCGCAAATATAATTTAATCCCAAAAGACTACGTGGAGACTACGGAATAACTAGTGCTAAATTAATTCACAAGTAGAATTCAATATCTGCTACATTTACTGATAAGAGATATAATAAACGAAATCGAGGTGGTTAAAATTTGAAAATTGAAGAATTGAACTTATCAGCTGTTTATTTGAGGGTTTTAAATATTAACAAATTTAAATGTTTGAAGCGTTTAAATTAGTTCATCAGAACTTATATAAATTGCCATATTTAGCAGGAACAATTAAATAGCTTGAAACTTATCCATAAGTACTTAAATGCCAAGATGTTTTCAAAATAACAAGATCATGCTCTTGTCACGAGACCTGAAGATCCCCGATGGGGTCTCAGATGCCCACTGGTGAGGAGTCCCATACAAGGATGAAATAGATGTCCAGTTTTTTCCTGATATTTGAATGGTTGCTTGAACATGGTCAATCTAAGATGTAAACTACAAAATTTGGAAGTCTAAACAAATCTTCCTCACTAATTACTAGCCTTTCGAAAAAACATCAATGATAATGAATCCAATATTGGAAAAAATCTAGTCACAAACTACAAAGATACGCAAACTCAATAATTAAACGTAGCATATTAATTATTATAAGGATAGAAGAATAAACAAGTTACAATTTTAATCAATTACCAGTATAATTGAACAGATGAACAAATTCCAATTGTTACAAATAATTCCCAATTAGTATATTCCCCATGTGAATTAGAAATATCAGAGTTAATATTTATGGTAAATAATAGTGTTAAGGTTATTATAAGGCCAATAACAATCCACCACAGGTCATATGAAGCATAATATAGAACTAACAAACCTAATCAAAGGAAATAAAATAAAAATTTTATGTTAACTCTGACATTATTCAACATTTTATCACCAAAAGCGAGATAAATCTAAATAATGAAATGAGAAGACGAAGTTTATCAGAACTATGTACATGATTGCATCACATCTGTCTGTTTACCAAATTACATGTGCGTTTGTGTGTGGATACGTTTGTTTTCAAAGAAGTAAATGCGATCTGTAAGTTACAGGCTATTAAACATGTACTGAAATGATAAGAAAAACAAATGAAGTCACATGAATTAATAAGAGGAAATGACAAACACCCTCTATATACATTGTCAAACACATAGTTGAAACAGATTATCCAATTGATCTTAATTCAACTTTTTCGATTTTGTATATCAGTTATTTAAGGAGAATATTCAGGTTTCATGAAACCTTAGGCAAACGAAAGTTCAGGTTAGCCCCTTGTTTGTATAAAAATAATCTGTACATACACTAAATCTACCCTGATGACACTGTTTTAATACATAGAGTAGGATAGTTTACACTATTTTCCCTTATTATTTACGTTTTATGCTGCAATTTGTCTAGTATATTTATCTCTCATGAATAAATGTATTGCAAAATTAATATGTAATCAAATTGTTTGACAGACAATGCGATAATAATGTCATACGGTTTTGTCAAATTTCGTCTTCTCATTAGATTATTGAAATTGGTTAAAAGGACTACTAACAATATCTTTTGGAAGTTATCAACAGTTTTAAGGGTAAATATTATTTATTATTAACAAATTAGTTATAAGTAGTTTATTTGTAATGTAATTCATTTATAATTTAAATGTCCATTAAACACCAGTTATAGCTTCGTACGATTTAATATGTTGTTTGTCTTGACTGTAGAAAGTGGAGTCGGGTTTCGATTCGTAACTTAATAGTTGAACTTTCTTTATTATTAGTTTATTATTATTAGTCTAATAATATGATTGAATGATTTATGGAATTTCCTCAAAAAAGGAACGACACAATGATGAATATAAAATAAGAAGAGTTTTGTTTTAAAATAAAATTAAACTCACTCTTGGAAAATTGTAACCAAAAGCTCTACTTACAATTGATAATTAAACTGATTAAAATAAGCAAAAACTGACAGAAAATCTGTAGGACAGAGTGATTCTAACAAATGACCTCCAATTTATCAGCCCTTGAGTCAACTGGTTGAACTGTAAGATCTAAATGCTTTGTAAGCTCTGATCATACTCCGATCGTTAACTTTTAGAGTAGTTCACAGTTGTTTTTTTTAAGTTTCAACTCGGACAAAAATCAGGAGATTTAGGTAAATTTACTTAGTAATTTTCATCATTCAATACAAACCTCAGTTAGTGTAGGTTGTTGGAAATTTCTGAACTTGGAACAGACGACTGTGTCATAAAATATACCATATACTGTAGTTTTCGCTTAGTTGAGCACTATTTTGAACTAATATATAATAACATGGATAAATGATATAATACATGACAGGATGTAAAACAGTAAATAACTCTAAGATTATTTAAGGTATGTAACGTTTGAATGTAAGCCATCAATAAGATAGATAAAAGAGGTACTTACCAAGACAAATAGAAAATATATGGAGGATTATTGCGACAAATGTGCGGCTAATTTTCCCTATTTAAAAGGAACACAATTGTAATGTACGAAAAATACAAAGTTATCAATAATGAGTCAAAGTATAGTTAGGGTTAGCGTGATAACTGCGATCATTGGTTGAAAAAGTTGGGCGAAATGGCTCAAAAGTGGTAGTAATAATAATAAGATATTACACTATCATTTTTATTCGTTTTTGTCAACATTATAAGTAAATAACAATCTTAGTTAAGTTTACTGTTATATCTTTTGTCTGATTCCGCTTATTGTGACTTTCGATTACATTCTTAATACTTATTTTAACTTCACTAATTAAATTATGGCAAACCTTTGGTTCTGATCATATAACTTTTGATAACGTTAAACAGCTTAAAACTGGATGAAAAACCTTAAAATTTATTCATTTTACTCCATAGATCGTGTTATTTGTGCTCTGTTCAGTTTTTTTTTAAATGGCCAGATTGTAAGAAATCACTGAAAAAAACACATTTTCTTTATGTTAATTATAATAATACATACTGATTCATTAGGCTTGTGGTGTCGGTTGCTACGTTAAGCCCACACAGTTTATTCTAGCTTTCATACAGACCAGTTTATTCATTCTTTTTGAGTCACATTTTGACCTTGTTAATTATTCGCTCATCAATCCTGACTGCTTTTCGGTGTGTGTGCATTTCTTACCTTAATCATCATATGTCTGTAACTTATTTTTGTTTGACTATAAATATCGATTCATTATTGATTAAATCGATTTGGCTTGATCGCTTTCTCCACCGAACGTCATTCCGTTTTGCTTCTCTTTCCGACCAACGATTGTACAAAATGTACGTACTCAAAAACCATTTTCGTACTGGACTTAATTAGTTCCGTTATCCACTAATGCGATTTAAGTCGATGATTATATATGAGGATTGGTGACATGTATAATCGATAACGATAATCACAAGATCAAAATGGAATCAGATCTCAGGACACTGAAAGCCGAATCCGCATAATTATTATAAATAAATATACGAATCACACATACCATTTGAAGGGAAACATCTGTTCAGTAAAAATTGCACAACACGCCATATAAGACATGAAACAAGTATCAAAATCAGTAACCAGTAGGCTTGTTTCAAAACTGGTATGGAGCATGATAATATTTCTGATGATATAGACTTCATGGATAATGCATTCTCGAATGAAACATCTTCAAAATCACCATCATCCTCTTCAACAGTTTCTAGATCATCTAAATAATTTCCCGACAGATCACTATCTCCATTTTCTTCGTCCACCTCCTCAAATAGTTCTTCTTCATCTTCATCCATATACCAAGATTCTTCTTGTTCATCCATCTTTTTCAAACTAATGAAATAAAACTTGGACAAAAATCCCTTGGATTATTCAACACTCACGACTAAAAATCAGATATATGAGAATCTGTCGATCTTCGACGAATTTGTTAATCTGAAAAGTTATAAGAAAGTATTTTCATTTGATCAAAAGGACTTAAAACCTAGGGAATAAAAAAATGTGTCTAAACTATTTAGAGACAAAAGAAAAGTTATTAATTTTATAACATAATTCATAGTTTGAGTGAAATAACATTAAATGATAGCTAGAAAAGGATTCGCAAAACAGCTTTTCCAACAGATTGACATCCGTCGGGATACCATTGGAAACCAGGAAGCGCCTGGCAAACGTAATGTTTTAGATTGAGACTACCATAATCGACAGGTCATACGCACAAGCCTAACAGAGACCGACTAAGACCTTCAGACGTTTCAACGAGTGAGTAACCAATCAGATAGGTTCCAAGATTTACATTTGCAACTAAAATCGATTCATTTTAAGCAGAGTAAGATGGTGGCCATCATTGGAATCCAGGACGTGCATTTCATACTGTTTGGGACTTAATTGGTTATATTCTATTAGCTTTCCCGAAATTATAAAACATGAGGGTGAGAGTAGCCACTTAAATAGCTTAATACATACATTAACTAACTAGATTAATCGGAATTAACTGACTTGTGCATAAACACAATCAGCTAAACAACACTTAAAGTATAACATCAGTTGCATGTCTTCTCAGTATTTTAAAAACTGATCTCTCTTCATGTTATGTAAGCTATATTTTTTACCGGATGGTTACAAATTTTTTGTACTTGGTTGCAGCTGAATAATAAAGTAATATATTTAATGTGACAAAAATTTACAACCAGCCATAATCGACGTAGGACCTGGTTTAAACGTATATCGACCGAAGCTGCCATACTATACGAGCACAAATAGAAAAAACAGAGTGAATAGCAAATTCTGAATAGTAGTATACAAGATATTAAAGGAGAGTGCGTGTAGAGAATATAGAAACAAAGACTAAACACTAAAGGATAATACAGAATGAATCTGAGAAATTTTAATTAACTCATGTCATCTCACTCAAAGCTTTCGATCGTTGGTCGTAATTGTCTCACGGACCACAACTAGGTCTGTAGTCAGCACCTCTTCATATTAGTCAAACCAACAGTTAATGACTTGATGAACTGACTCCGTTTGTTGACTTTCTTATTACTAGTTGTCATCTAGATAACACTGAAGTTCGGGATAAACAATGGTTGGACAAACATCACGCAATGCAAGTAATACGAAACCATGAATAATAAGATGTCCTAAATAAATGGGCAAATGAATGTTTGGGAAAGTAATTTTCCGCATATATATATATATATATATATATATATATATATATATCAGATAGTTCATCCAAGGTATCCAACAACAGAGTTTTACTATAATGGACTTATACTTTCCAACAAGGATCAGTTCTGTAGTAATGTGATGATATCCTATCCTAGCATTCCTCAAAACAAAACATATACTCACCAGAACAGCAAGTCAGAATAGTTTTTAGGCAGGTACGCACAACATATATTTCACTAAACTAAATCGACAAAATTTCAGAATCTCATCAAACAAGTTACTATGTTTATTTAGAACTTCAACTCCACTCCAACCTCAGGACTATTCAATTGGTAGTCCTGACATATGTGAACAGTGTTTCCAATACATTTGTGATCGATCATTAACAGGTTATGAATAGGAAGTTTGCTATTGGTTTTTAATTTAGTTAGTCATCATAGGATGACATTTTATAGACGATTGTAATTACCGCATATTGAAGTAGTGGTTCAGCATTCAGTCTTCAACTAGTAGATCCATTTCATCTACTTCGGTTTGGGTCACTACTGGCAAGCACAACCGCTAGCTTCCACAAAATGTATGATTAAAAGCCGAATACATCAACAATAAATAAGTAATCTTTTATATATAGTTGAAATCATCAGTCAATTGAAGCTAGACCAACATGGAAAACCTGGAAGCACTGGACGGCCGTTTCGTCCTATTGTGGGATTCCTCAGCAGTGCGCATCCACGATAAATAAATAAGTAACATTGAACTACAATCATAATGCAATTGTAGATAGACATAATTTTCTAAATGTAAGTTTTTGAGACTATTCAACTAAATATTCTAAATACTTGAAACACAAACTAAAATATCATCCAAGAAGAGTAAAACAAATTAAAAGAAAAGGAAACTTTTACGAAAATATGTATTTTTTCTTTAATCATTCTCATTTACGAAAATATACTGATCAAAGGGAAAAAACAATCTGTTTTTATATATCATAATGATTTTGAAAATGTTGGATTACTAGAATGTGAAGACATATACTGAAGGGATAAGTAAATTACATTAGGTTGTATTTCATTAATGTTATTATTACAATTACTACGAGTACCTTCATTGGACGTAATTTCTTTTGATTGTACAGATAATTTTGAGTGTTCACCAACAATAGCTTGAGGATCTACAGCACTATTATCATTGTTATTATCATTCTTAATTTCATAATGTGTTATTCTTTGAATTGTAAATTTTCTAGTATACATTTCAATATTACTAACTGTAGCTAGAACAAGTATTTTTTTCAAACCATTTGCAATACGTAGTTTAGCCAATAATAATGAATTGGAAAATGAATCTGTTGGTTTACAAATTGTAATAATATGACTACCATGATATAAAAGTGGATCACCTAAAAAGTAATAAAAGAATGTAAAAGAAAAACAAAGTAAAACTGTAAAGTAGAACATACTCCTTGAGTATAATACTAAAAGCCTATATAGATTGAAATAAGGAACTAGTGACTGTTTATTTCTCCTCAAATTTTATTACATTTAATAACGACTATAATATCATTCTTAAATTCAACAGTTTGACTTATACTCGTGATACATTTGCATGAACACAATTTTGATATAAGTATATAATATTCCCATTATTTCATAATGTACTAATCAATTAACGTGTAAATTACCGTCTTATTACCTGAGGATAAAACTTAGAAAAATAGTGAACATTCATGATAATTTAATTATGTTGATACAGTAAATAAAGATTACAAAACTGTTTGAAACTAGATGGTGTTGGACAGTTGCTTTCGTATTTTTTTAGGACTATCATTTATTTGTGTACATCAAAGATCCCACAAATGTGATCGAGTAAAGGGGCAATAATTCATATTTTTTAAAATAAATTTGGTGTAGTAATGATAAAGTGTGCCATCTTCTGATATCAGAGGTGAGTTATCACCGTTATAAGTGGGCAAATAGGAAAACTTTGAAAATATCTTACCGTGAATTATATTATTAGTATGTATTTATCAAACAACTCATTTGTGATATTGTCCTAACTTCAAGCGTCCATTTAACCTATACACGATTGTCATATTTTTCTCTGTTCAGAAATTATTGTCAAACTCCGTACTAAAAGGGTCCCAATTATGTACATATTGTGATTTTATATTTATGACACCTTAAGGATGTATACAGTATGTATAGAATCATGCAATTCTAAGTCTAATAATGATATGAAGTACTCGGATGTTTTTCTAATGTTCTAATTAAGAGATGGAGAACGATTAGGAAGTTCTCTGTGGTCAACTGATTCCTCATTTAATATGCAGTAGCTCGGTTAGCAAACTCACCATAATTATTAAAGACAAAAATAAAATTCATACTGATTACAGTTACGTTCACTACTTAATTAACGAAGAATACGATATATAACTAACGGCACTCGAACGCATATCAGAAGAAAGACGAAGCAGGAGAAGTGGTTATTGGGAAAGAATCAAAAATATACAGAAAAACATCGGTATTTCTAGTTATTAGTGTTGGCTATGACATCTTTAAAATGCAGCCGACTCGCAAGAAGGTAAATTAGACTACTGTCCAATCATAGCATGCGATGTTGATATTCTAGGAAACTCCGTCAGGTTCTGATTAGGGGGGAACTCTTCAGCTCCTTTAGAGCCTCTGAAGGCTCCATCGTGCTTCTCGTAAACTGTCCTAACAACTACCACACCGCAAAGATAAGTGGTTTTACGATTTTCATATTCAAACACTTCGAAATCCACTTTGAAACTAATTACTAGAGAGTAAAATAACTTAGAAAGATGAGATATAGTGATGAATGTATTGTTTAATGCTACCTAATGCCTAAAGACAGATGAATATTTACTTCATTTGTGGTTTATTTCATTCCATTTATATAATTAAAGTCAATTTAACTATTTATTTATAAAAATAAGGACAACACCTATATTGTTATCAGTAAGAATCAAGAAAATATATTTACACTACGTGAAATTGTAATCTCCATTATACTGTAGTGAACGAGAACACAAGTGGGGACAATCAAATGTATTTGAATACAAAACTACAGAATATCTTGGTAGAATTTGAGAACCATATAGTAAATACTTTATTGTCAAAATTTAAATCAATCGTCTCACAATTTATTGTTCTTTCATTTACAAACCAATCATTCTTTGTTCTCGGTCTCTTTCCTTCGATCTTCTAAACTGTCTACCTCCAGGCATTTTACTTTCTATTGATGATACATACTATTTATATCTAATGACATCAGTAGCACATACCACAATCGCGTAATAATACATTATTATTTTATGTAAATGAAAACTATACGGAAGTGAATACAACAAGTAGGGCAGATAACTCACCAGTGAAAAGTTATGAAATCGAACTTATGAAAAAATTAAAAATTAGTACACTATTACATCATATTTTTACAGCTTGAAAAAAATAAACTGAAGATATTTCATACTATCAATAACTAGAATTTATTACTCACCTTGATAAACCAGGAAATCACCACCCATTTTCATAGTGGATGTACTAATATAATAACCTTTATTCCATAAATCCATATAAATCAAACAAGATTGTAAACGTTGAATATACATATCTTGTGTACTATTAATGTTATTTTGATTATCAGTATGCTGATTAGAAAAATTTGTTGCTTTACATTTCTCTTGAATCAATTGAATGAGCCAAATGACAACTAAAAAAAAGTAAAATCAATGCCATATATGACAGCTGAAATGGGTCTATGGAGAATCATTTGATTTGTGAGCTGTATTAGTCACAGACTGATTTTAGTCCACTGCTCCCTGGTCCTCAACTGTACTCGACATAACATTATTCTGTGAATATATATATATATATATATATATATATATATATATATATTCGATATCGTGAAACCCAGCTTCATAGTCAGAGACGTAAATGACCTTTTACAGTATTGAGATGTACTCTTAATTGATTGGTAGAACCCGTCAGGGAGCATCAGCTCCTCCAAGATTACAGGCTCCCCTTGCTGACAAGTGCTAAATAGCACGAAACTTAGGTCCAGGGTCTACTGTCGACTACCTCCAAGCACCAGCTTACATTTCAACATAGTGCATGTAATGTCCAGTCATTTAGATTGGTAGCCATATTGCAAGTCGAACGATAAGATTCGATCAGAACTAAAGAAGGAATTGACATACATGACATACATGGTAATCAACTCTAAAAACATCATTATCGTCTACCTTAATTAGATGTCAGCTTTCTCATGAGTTATTCTACAGGCGCTAAATTAATCATGAGAATAAAACAAATGACGAATACAAATAATTAAGTAGAAAAATTTCATTTTAAAAACCTCCAGATTTTATTTAAAACAAAACTAGCTAGATTACGACATGCTAGGTAGTAGAAAGAAAAATGAAGATAATTTTCATGTTATCATTTTATAAAAGTAGATTTGTAAACACGTTTAAAAAAATTATTTCGAATTCATGAAAATAAGAGATTAGGCTGAGATCGATGATGTTTTAGGATGAATATAGAATCTGGATTGTTTTAGCTAGTTTACATCCACTTTAGTTTGTTCAATAATTGACGAGAATTTCAGCTATTAATAGAAACTACCTGTCGTCAAATGCAGAAAATATTAAACATTTCCCTAGGTTACAACAACATAACTAGTGGGTAGTAATTTATCATTTAAATTGCTGACGCTAAGAATTCGGTCACATTTGAAGACAGCTTTTATTATAAAGTTACTGATATTCGAAAATGGTGACTGAACTTCCCACTAATAACTTAACGGAAACATGTTAACCAAAAAGCCAAAAGATTAAGAATTCCCCTTGGATGAAGCTAAAGGATGATCATAGTTAAAGTAAGGCCAGTCAGAACGAAACAGATATTTAGCATTATCCAATATTAAATAATAGCCTCTCTCTTTGAAATACTTGATCGATGTGTCATTTTCATTTAAACCTTGTCAACTGAAATGAAATATAACAATAGTATAAGTAGTAACTATCAAACATTATTGATAGAGAGTAAAGAACTTGAGTGTAATAACATAAATATTAAGATTGTTTAGACAAAGTGACTAACATGAATAAATTCCTTCAGAAAATACACTTTCCGGCAAACTAACAAACAAATATTCATCAGGACGTCTCCATTCGATAGGTGTAGGACGTGGTAAATGCTGTGGAATGTACGGTAAATATTCCTCAATGTTTTTACTTGGTATCACAGACAATTTCGATGTTCCTTGATGTGTAGTAGAATGTACAGAAATTAGGTCATCCAAAGTGATAGGTGAATCAGATGGCTCAGAAACGTCTTGATCACTGTCATAAATATTGAAATTATCATCGTCATTATCAACACTACTACAGCCAGTCATTAACATTTGTTTTTTCAATTGTTTCTGAAATAAACGTCGTTGACGGCGTCGTTTTCTAGATGATAACTGTAAAGCTACATATTTTGAGCAAATAAACAAAGGAGGAAGAAGATAACTAATTTTATATCATTTATGTATGACTGTTGATACAACGTAGAAGTGCAAATGTTTAACAGGGATGTAATGATGAGGATTAAGTAAAAGAAATATTGTAATGACAAAACGTATCGGTAGGAGAAAAGGAATGAATGAATAGTTCCATAGCTTACATCATGAACTGATATTAGTAAGACAACCCTGGTATGAGGCTTTTTGGCTGTAAACATTCACGACCTTGCCACCAAAAACTGAAACCGAAACCCTCAGGTAACGCAGTGAGTCACGGGTTCACAAGTTTAATTCTAATCAATTCACGACACTGTGCAACCATTTTCCAAAGTCATTGGTAAGCAACTAACTGCCTTATACTCTACGTGGAGTCCCATACAAGGACGAAACGGCCATCTAGTGCTTTCAAGTTTTCCATGGTGGTCTAGCTTTAATCAACTCATGAATCCAACCATTGAATAAATATACATTTTAGTAAAATATTGCATTCCATAGAAAAACAAACTACTTAAATCCTATGAACAAGGAAATAAACAATGGAAGTTTACACCAGAAACTAAATTTAGTTCACGATAAATTGTGAAACCATGGAAGTAGTTTTTCCCATATTCTATTCACTTTAATGAAGTAATTACGTTTGTAAACCTTATAATGAATTCTGTTTAGAGTTCACAACCTACGAATATGTTAAAAAGAAGGAAATAATAACCGAAATACCATAATAGTTGGCACATTTCCTTAGTGTTAATTGTTTGGAGTAACGAGAGGAGAGTATATACATTACAATTCATACATCAAGCATACTATGAAGTGATAAAATGATCAAAAGCTTTCACAGTTGAAGATATATACCTCATAAATAATGTTTAGAAAGCCTTTAAATTTTTGTCTTTCGAATAGTTACAAATGAGGTGTATATGTTAAAGTGAGATTTACAACGATATAATGTATTTTGTATTTGGAATTCTTTTCTACGACAAAGTATATAGTATTGAACAAATCAATTATTATTGAACCATAGAAGACTGAAGAAAGATAAGGAAATGTTTTGTTTTAGTATAAAGGTGCTTCACAATGCATACTCAAGATCGAGACAGTAGTTGAATCCGCGACTTCAGACCTCATAGCAAGAGCGTTAATGAAATTTTAAAAAAAAGAGTTGTGATCCACATTTGTAAATTCTCTGACTCAAACAAACCATTTTATATAGCGGATATCATCGACTGTTGTCGGTCATATACACCTGAAATACTTACAATTATATCGGTAAACAAAGTCTGATAACATATGATAATGTGAACTCTTTGATAAAAAAAAGCAATAAAATTATATGTAGGTTAAAAGAAATAACCCTTTTATAACAAACGTACTTACATGAACTTAAATTATCTGTATCATTGTTTTTTGAACACCCATTATCGTTGATTGCATTGACTGATGATGAATCACTGAGATTGAATAACTTGGATCTGGCTTGGCGTTGTTGACGTAACTTTAAACCATTCAACAACTGACCATAGTAACCAACTAATCTTAATCGTTTTTGAGTTTTAAATATATTAACCTATCATTGAGAAAAAAAGAATTTATAAAGCTAAAAAATTAAAGGTGAAATTGAGTTGTTGTTTTTTTCAAACAAGCTAGTAGAATTCTAACCAGAATAATGAAAACAGTAAATGATATTTTCTAATGATTAATATAAAATTAACCGAATGTTATCAAGCTTGATTTAAAAGAAAGGTTTATCTATGTAGTAAGGAGCATACATTTACTGGATCGCAATTTCATCTGTAGTACCTCGCATATACGTGAAAGACTGATAATGGATCTAGAAGACGTAAGTAGTTTGATTAGTTTTTATTCAAAAGTGCTTTCAAAGCATTGCCTAGGTATGAAGGAACCATTGAGTTGGCTAGGTACACCGTACTCAGTAAATGTCATAAATCAGTTGATAGAACTGTCGACTTTTATTGAATGAAATAATCAAAGTATTTATCATTCAGATTCAGCGACTGTCTACCCTGGTATATTACGATGGCAAGTATAGGATTAAGTTAAAAGACACCCAAGGGTGGTTAAATCAAATTACGTCATTAGTTTATGAAATAATTCATGATTGAATTGAACTGTATCAAGATATGAAAAATTTCTATTTAATATAATTGCAATAATCGTAATCCATAGTTGAAAGCTATATAATAGAGTAAAGCCTTAAAGATATCTAATGTGTCTAATTTAAGTAATTACAACTAATCAAATAACAAAATATTCTATCATGTAAATCCTATTGAAACAACAAATAATTTGCATAATATTTTATAAACCTATGTTGATGTACCTACACATATCAATCAAAAATTACCATTTCTTCTGCATTCTTCATTAATGCATGATGATATGCTTCAATTGTTTCCTTTGATGGTTCAGGAACAGAAATTACTGGTCTACTACATAAAATACCATGAATAAAACCTTTTGATAATAATAAAACAACTTCTTCAAAACTTAATCGAACAGGTAATCGATCTGGTTTCTTTGATTTATTATGATTACATGCTTTAAATAATTCCAATGGTAATGAAGCACGACCAATAATTCGATAATTACGACGTAACCAAATAACAGCTTTGTAGATTAATAAAAGGAAAATAACAATTACATAAATTGGAATATAAACAATTTATCGAAAAGATAAATTAAACAAGTCAATAATTTTATCGATAGCACAGTATAAACAATAATTTCAATGCTCAATCCAAGCAATAAACAACGTAGTATTCATTAAAACTATGAGCAGAATAAATAACAATGATAGGATAGAAAAAAACAACAACAAATTGTAATGAAGTGATAGTACACCAATAAACAAGAAAAAAGAAGCATGAACTAAGCACTTTATACATGAATAGATTATTTTTCTTAGAAAAAAAGCACACTAGCAAACAAATAATTAAGCATTGGATAGTTAAAAAATGAATATATATATAATATATATAATATATAAATATATATAAATATATATAAATAATATTATATATATAAATATATATAAATATATAATATGACTTAAATGAAACTTAAAATGTATATGTACGTATTTATATTTGCTACAAGGTAGTGCATTCTATTATGAAACAATAGTATGTATATTAATATCGGTGAAAACATTCTTAAAAGCATGAAGATTAAGCAAAACTACACACAATTTCACTAAATATTGACTCGACTTTTATAAATATTAATATACAGGTTGAGTGAAGAATTTCTGCCAATTATATAACTATAGGAAAATTTTAATAACTAAAAACTATTATATAAATAATCAATGAATACGAAAGATTTACCTTCGAAATAGGCAATTCTAACCCCAATGTCTAATCTACTATAATCTAGAATATGAATATTTATGTGTTATTTATTCAATGGATCAACGTAATCCCACCTTATTTTAATGATAATAGAATTCTAGTAATTAGGTTAGAAATATTTAACCTATTTTCAAATTTAATCATTTTAAGAATAAGCTAACAATCGACTTTTTAAAAGTAATACACACTAACAAGAGAAGATAGTTAAGAGGAAAAAGTCGGTTGATAATCGTAAAAACCTAAATCAAACAAATTCATTTTATTGTCCTAATACAAATGTATACATTAAATCTTCAGTCCCATATAGTATTGGTGATATATGATGGATCAATTAGACTTTCAATTAATAAGAATATGATTTATATTAGTTAAACATTTACATGGTTAGTGTCTCTGGTCAAACTGTGAGACAACTAAAAAACATTGGTGCTATATAACCAATATATGTTATTAAATTACATTCTCATCTTTTATATACGTATTGAGGTGATTGTATCGATAATACATGAAAGCTGATAATAGCACTACTTCATTTAATTAAACTAATCCAAGTAAATGATCAAACTATAAGCGTGATGGATGAATAATTATTGTTGTTGAAAACAAGTCAGGTCACAAATTGAAACAAACAGTATCATAACATCAAATAATAGGTACATCGGTCAGTTAATAAATTCGAAATATATTTTGTACATCATTGAAATTATTATTACAGTGATATAATAAGGTGGACCGCTGAAACTTTTGTATCATCATTTTGCCAAATGTATATTTAATAGTTGAAAACATGAGTCAATTGAAGCAAGACCATCATGGAAAACTTGTAAGCACTGTACGGCCGTCTCGTTCTGTTGTGGGACTCCTCAGCATGCGCAACCACCACCTTACCTCGCGAGATTCGAACCCAGCACCTACCAGTGTCGTGCCAGAGCACTTAACCGATAGACCATTGAGCCGGCATCTGATGGTGTTAATGTCTAACTTCAACCAATCCACGAAGTTGAGCAACCGTTCACCAATTGTCTTCAGTGAGCTTCTATCTCACAATCGACGTGGTTTGAACTCCACTGGTCACTGCTTCTCACTAGAACTCCAGGAATTATCTCTTGAATACAGTCTATAGTGACCATATGATTATAATCAGAAGAGGTTTTTGTAGAGATTTAGTATTTTCATCGTTGAAAGCATGAGTCAATTGAAGCTAGACCACCATGGAAAACCTGGAACCACTGGACGGCCGTTTCGTCCTATTGTGGGACTCCTCAGTGTCAAAAATCATCTTGTTCTGTTTATGCTTTAATTACACTAGTTAAGTATTTGAATGAAAATGCTTTTAGAAAATGTTTATAATTTATCATGATTCTGGTGATTAATAAATTAAAGAAATACCACCTTGGTGATTTTCACATTTTCTTTATGATTATCTGTCCTTTCGAGAAACGAAAGATAGTTATTAGAGAATTCATGCATCAAATGTATTTATCGATGGGAAAAGATGTGATGGGAGTATAAATTATGGATAAATACATAAACATGGTAGTAAATGAATGTTCAAAAAGTGTAAACACATACTTTTCGAATATTCACAAGTTAAACATTCATAAAATGAAAATTTTGCTGCAGTATTGCATATTTTGTGCTGAGAATGCTTTACTGTAGTTAAACATTTGGAATAAAATAAAACGAGCACCATCATGAGCATAGATGTAGCTCCGGGTCATTTTAAAACATACAACAAACACCTACTGAAACAGAAAATAACTATCAAAGTTTTTTTTTTAAAATCCTTTACAATGCGACTAACCTTCCGCAGTCCATACTAGGAATTCACCAAAAGGAGTTAAATTGACACATTCCATATAATGCGATTGAGAATCTGATTTAAATGGTTGATTTGACTGAGATAAGTTGTTTTTGTACTAAGAGAAAACAAATTAAATGACTTGTTATTAATTGATGTGATAAAACCTTACAAAATTGAGTCTAAGCAACTGAGCTATATTGAATTTTATTAGATATTATTTTCTATTATATACATATATATACCTCAAAGAACTGTTAGAAACTAAAATGCACTTAACACAACTTTTACATTCTAGTTTGATACAGTGTACAACTGCTGCATATACCTAGAATCCAACACGAGATTCCAATCAGGATGTCTAAATCTCGTAGCATACATGTTTTTTACAATGGTTCCCTTCTTAAAGTTAAGTGAATTAGTGGGTATAGTTCTTTCGTAACTGATAAGAGTCTCATTCTTGATATTTTCGAACAATACTGGATCTGCTTGATGTATTGGAAATTCACTAATGAGATTTAGTTGACTAATTAATTTAACAAATTCATAGGACTTAAACCAATGAAAAAAAAGTTTTAGTCAGACTGACAAACAAGGACCTCGTATTTTTAGATTATATTCCCACTGAATTGGATCAATTCCCATAAACCACCCACCTACACATGTTAGTATATAAGGGACAACGGTTGTTTACTGGACTACTTTTAAACATTGATCTGATCAGGTGAAGAAATACCTTTGCCTATGTATTTTAAAAAATATTTGTTAAACAGTGTTATGTTTTGTAGCGATTTCATCTTATGAAAGCCGACTACTTTATGTATAAAAGAAACCCCATTGCATAAGGCTAAATTAACACAGACATGTTTGTGATCAAGATCAACTTTTCACTTTAATTTTCTATTAAATCAACAAACGTCGAAACATGCACATTTAATTTTTTTAATTATTCAGTACGGAGTATGAATTGTGATCTTAGCAACCGTATAAAATAAACCAACCAATAGAATAGTTTTAATCATAGATAATATACAATGTAATGTTTTTTTGCATTCAAGAAAAACAAGATGTAATAATAATTAATTCTAGCACTATTGATCTGACAGTCAAATAATTTACTGAGCGACTATAATTATATACACATAAAATCACTTAGTAACTAAACGAAATTACTAAGTTTGTGTCTGTAAAGATGGACTATATTAACATAGATTGATCAATCTTTTATGAAAAGTGTGCCAGCTATATACGTAAGAATTTGAGTTTTCTCGTTGTTCATATTAAGAACGCCATTTGATCAGTATCGATAAGCATATCTGCAACTTAAGAAGATTGCCTTGATGGCGTCTTTGATCACAAGTCATATTAAATGCATACGGGGATACTACAGACTGGCCACCGTTTCGTTTCTCCCACCCGATTCCAGTGTCGTTAGGTGGTTACACCATTTGCCTAGTGTTGATGTTCACACAGAGACTCAAGTACAACACCTTTCGCTACGAATACTAATGAGTTATATACTAACCTGCTGTGTCTAGATAGACAATAACTTGATTCCACTGCTATTACCGATCCAATTTTGCTGAAATTTGTGTTACTTAGTTTTAAACATAATCATGTGTTAACTAAGTATACGGTTACTAACCACATATGTACAAGATCTGAAAATTGATTCAATTACTAGCTCGAAATCCCTTAATATTTTATGCATTTATTTAAAATACTAGATTTATTGAGATATCCTAGAGTGTACATAAGACATTTAAACGTGATATGTATCTGTAGGTTTTTGGCTCTTACTAAGCAATGATACTGAACAGTTTTTTTCTTGTCAATGTAAGGATTTATGTACTTTTCTGATTAGTCACAGAGTAACAAGGCAATGAAAATACAAGTTCTGCATTCAGATAAAAAGTAGAATATATTCACAAAAGTAAACATTTATTAAGTCATTGATAGATTTACAAAAAAAATCATTCAGGAAAAAAAACAAAATTGCAAATAAAGTGACTTAACAACATTGATGCAGTTTGTGCATATCATTTATGACCAAGTATTGACTTTATATTTTAAGATAAATTGAACATTGAGTGTACTATTTATGACAATAAAATAATAGATGTTTTTAATATCTCAATTAGCTGAAAATTGAATTACTGACGTTTTGCAACTTAGTGTAGGTCACTTCTTCAGAGAATACAAAAATCAAGAACCAGATTAATTTAACACAAGTTTACGAAGTACAAAGCAGAATATTTAATACAGTCAAAGTAGGTCTAGCTATGTCATCTTGATTGAGTTGATTCAGTGTGCAGTGTCATTTACAGGCCATAAATCATATCTATAATGTAACATGCAGTCAAACATTTAAACCATACAAACTTCACTACATATAATTACTAAAAGTATACACAAAATAAATTGTAAAACACGTCAATTTTTCTTAAAAATCTTATACTTTATAACCACTATTTTACTACAACTTTATATTAATAAATTTGAATATAAGGCACTTGTCAATACAATAGTATCCAAGTAGCTTATTCTTAAGAGATGATGTATCACAAATCCGGTCTCAAGTTCAACTTTGATTCAACACAGTTAGTCTAGCCAGTTAAAATGAAAGTATGCTTTCCATACCGACTGTTGAAAATCAGTTAACTAGTGATATATCTTCCCTCCTCAGAAATGATTTTGAACAACTAAATGCAAACTTTAGGAATCTAGCACTACTTATTCCTGTTAGATCTAGAAGTCCATGTTTTCTGCGTAATACATTTATCACCACAGTATGAGTAAGTATGATATATGCTTTGTAACCTCGAAGTGTTAGGCACTTATCAGGGCTAGCAGTAATTTGAGACGGCAGTCACTGTTGGAAATAAACCTCTGAAAGCCTGAAAGTTCATGCATTTATACAGTTGCGCTATAGTTGATGATCTGACTAATGAGATCAGTATACGTATAGTGAAAGTCAGAGTGCCTTGCGCAAATCTTGACTGAACTGCTGACATCCAACTGGCGATCACTGAATGTTTATCATCAGGAGCAACGAAGACATAAGAAACGTAAACATGTTGAAATACTTTATGCTGAGAATTCGATTTTGTACCAAATAATATAATATTGAATAAAGCTAATAATAATAATAATAATAATAATAATAAGTCTTTGGGGCTTTTATGATGTTAATTGAACTGTAAATTTGAAGGTCCACAACGTATCGGTGAGAGCAGTTCTACACTGTGCCCTTGAAACCTGACGTCTCCAATTTGAGGATGTTAAGCCGCTCTCTGAGTTCAAGATCTTTAAAGTTTGAAATCAATACATGTACCGTTATGCAATAAATGGCACGTGTAAACTGTCAGATCAGATTGTATACAAAAATTAACGAATATCACTATATAATCTTAAATTTGACTGCAGGGATACAATGCAGTCATGAAATAATTTGGTCACACAAATGATCAGTAGAGCGTTGACTTAGTGAATAAACTACTAGACTTTCATAGGTATCATTACCAAGTTTTGATTTGATAATTTTGAATAAATTGAACATTGGGCAGATTGCTATAAATAAATAATATATTTGAAAATCTAATTTTTCTACTCATTGGGATATTACAAATATACTATTTATTTATACTAGACTTTCAGTTAGCGTTACATAGTCTAATCTCTATACATCTACTTTAGTATGGGCAACTAAACGGTAGCATCAACGTTCACACAAAAACAAAAAAAATGTGACCCACAAATGAATACAAAAACATATGCGTAGTGGGTGAGTAATATAGAAAAGTACACACGTACACAAACATTACTAAAAAAATTTCAGAACAAGAAACACGCAATCACTTCTATCTATGTACATAAATAGAACAAAACTCCTATTAAAGAGCCATAAAAAACCTAACATACTTTACGAAGAAAGTATATATTTACATCAGAAAAAAAAGTACTAGACATCTGTTAGTATATGTACAATACGATTTATAAAAATAGACTACTTTTTAAAGACAAAACGCTGTGAAATAAATCAACTAAATGGGGAAAAGAGAAATACTAGGGTTTATGCAATTATGAACAATATTCACAAGAGATAATGTACATTTTCTTTTAAAACAAAAAATAATTTTTATGAATAAAAATTATTGGATTGTATTAAGCGTAAGTCTAAAGGTGGTGGTTGTACGTTATAACTTCCTTCCCCTCCGACTCCTCCAGTTGAGGTTGTTTTTATTGTCGTCGTTAGTGTATTTGATGGAATACAATGACTATTCATTGGTGAGATAAGTGTATCTGATATTTTAAGTTCACTACTGATTACGATACTGTTAGTATTATCATTGTGGCTAGTAGTAGTAAAAGAAGTTGACGTTTCGTTTGAACGATAAACAGCACTTTCAGGATAAATTATAACTTCAGGGTATTCCGTTTCACATTCTTCATCATTATTAGTAAGTAAGAGGTCGGTAAAACTGAAACCTGGTTCAGGATCCCATATTGTATGTGTTGTAAAGAATGTATTATCGGTACATTCATTTGTCGATTCAAAAAACAATGTTGTACAATGCTGTGAAGAACTTAAGTCAATTGGGTTAACAGTTATTATATCAACAGAGGGATCAAATGATAAATCTATCGCTTCAGTAGTTCCTGTCAATGTAAGATAATGTGTATCAGTAAGATCAAGACCAGAATTTGAATAAAATAAATTTTTGGATGAAAGACCATTGTCAATAATTCGATTAGTTTCTGTAATATATTGTGGTATAATGCTGTTAGATGAATTCACTGTTGATAAAGGTAGTGTTAATGAATCGACTCTTCCTAATTCTGACGAAGATACAGAAGTATACGTCTACAAAAAAGGGAGGGTAAAACGAAAAAAGGAAAATAACACATTTGAATATCTAAGGAAAATGTATAAACAACAATGATTATAATACGAGATCTATCAGTCTTTTATTTGTTTATTTAATTATTATTATTACAGAAGTTAAACATTTCCAGATGTATAGAGAGAGATAAAATCGATATTTTCTTCCAAGTCATCTGAGCGAGTTGTAAACTAACCTATCAGCAAACAGTTATTTACTTATTTATTTATTTGAACACATAAATATTGGTACAAGGAGGCACCAGATATATATGCGCCACATAAAACAGTGGAAATAGGAAGAGAAAAAACGGTAAGGTGCATATAAGAAAAAAACGAACAATAACAGCCACAGATTAGTTTATGGAAGTGTGATAATAATGATAATAATAATAATATAATGAGGGAAACAGAAAGGTACAACCGGAAAGAATTCTTCCACTTAGGAAAGTTACAACCACTTTCTATGAAGAAGGTAAGAGAAGGTTACAGCAGGATCGTCATTGGCTTCTATTCTGAGCCATATCTGATAATGTCTTTAGCCACTGTATTGCACCATCTCTCGGACTCCAACCAGGAAGGCGGGAATGACCAACAGAAGCCAGTCTTTTTCAGCTTTCTTTCATACCACGACACTATGTCATACACTGACCACCTCTCCACTCTTTCTAACCAGTCCCAGAGTCGGCAAATAATGCACGACAAGGAATTCTCCGGGACAACATTCGTAGAATATGTCTAAGCCATCGCAGTAGGGGTTTCAAGATGGTGACATCGATTAGGTTGCCGTCACTGGGCCCGAACACACGATGCCAAACCTCTGCATTACCAACATGGTGTTGCCACTGGATGTCAGTAATCCTTCTGAGACAACGATGATCAAACATAGAGAGCCGTCTAACATCTTCAACTCAGAAAGGCCAGGTTTCACAAACATAGAGCGAAAGTGCTCTCATCAACGCGTTGTAGGTCAAACCTTTTACAGCCAGACTAACATAACGAAGGCGTCAAAGATGGTCCAGATTGGCAAAAACCGCTCTGACTTTCGCTATACTTGAATTCATCTCATCATTCACGTAACCACTAACACTTACACAGCTACCCAGATACACGAACTTCTCGACTACTTCAATCTGCTCACCACCTAGGGTGGGTGCAAGATTTGAGTCCTGCCAGTCTTATAAGAGTACTTTGCACTTTGAAGGTGCAAAGCACACACCGTACCTGCGGACAATGATTGCTAACTGATTAAGTGCGGATTGCATGCCTTGGGCATTATCACACAGCAATACAGTATCACCCGCATACTCAGGGTCGAGAAGTCGTTCTCCAAGTAACAGACCCATACCACCATTACCTACATCCATCAGAGCTGTTTCTGCAACGTCTTAGATAGCAAAGTTGTAGAGAAATGGTGAGATTGGGAAACCCTATCTAACCTCATTGTTTGGATGGAACAATGAATAGAGGTGGTTGTATGCCCTCTCTCTACCTGAAGTGTTTGTATATAGGGCTTTTAGGATATTAATAAACTTCTCAGGCACACCCTTCTTCAATAGACAATCCCAGAGAACAGTCCTGTCCAACGAGTCGAAGGCGGTCTTGTTGATAAGATGATATGACCGATACATGGAATTGGTAAGTAAAATTATCCAAAATTAAATGACGTGAAAATCATTACAGCAACCAATAGGCAACATGCTTAGGAGTGTAAGGTTTTGATTAGGTCAGTTGTTATAACCTAGTCATAGCATAGTGTATGTGCTAAATATAGTATTGTAGAGCTCTTGTACTGTTTTAGCTTGTCTGCATTTTAATGTAACTGCGTCTCGTTTCTCCTAAGAATATGCAACGAAAAGATGTGAATGGAATGAATGATTTGTATTTGATAAAATATTACATCCGAACTGTTTGGAAGATTTCAAACGTCTGTCCACAACCATAACCATGATGAAAATAAGAGATTCACCACAAACCATACTAATTGCCTTCATTACTTCACAACACAGAATACATAGTAATTGAGTTGTGTTGCGACAACTAGCTGATCTGAATCGATGGGAAATCATTCATTGTCACAAAAGCACCAGTCACCTTAAGGTTGTAAATACGCCTTACTGATGAGTGGGAATTATAATGAAACCTAGGTTCAGAGATTCATATCGACTGGATCCGACCAACCAAAAGCACACAGGATTGCTTTAACAGCGGAAAACAGAATAAAGAACTATTTCCATAAACTATGAAACTCAGTATACAAGTAAACATCCATGTATGTGACGCATAGTAACGCTATAGAGTTGACCAAACCAAGATAAATTTTGTGCCCATTCTTTCTATCTTAAAACAATAGTGATAATAGTAATTCAAACCAATAACACAACATTTGAATACTGAACTCTTTAACCGATAAATCACCACTTTCACATAACTTGAGTGTGATTACATTGTTTTTTTTTTCTTGAAAAAGAATAAAAGATATATTACGTTTAGAATAGTTGTAACTTTGCAATTTAAACTTGTTTGTTACTGTATGGGCTACACATTATTCTTCGTTTCGGAAGAAATCTGAATAATCCACATATACACAGAAAAAAACAATAAGAATGACAGACAACTTTAATTTTTATAACTTTTCAGTTCGAAAGATTCCATTTATTGTGGTTTATCGAAGCCATAGACAAAATAATGTACTAAACTCTAAATCGTTATCAGAAATATTTTTTAACAAAATTATGGTCAATATCTCTAAGCATCGTAATGTCACTGTAGACACAGAACTCACATAATTTCAGCAATGATCTACCCATTTGCATCACTTGTCGCTTCATTTTGTAGCATTTCATTTTGTTCTGTTTTCCAAAGTCATTAACAATGAACTGTACATACAGGCTGATGTGAAACAAAATTGGATTCTATGAAAATCATTGCTCATTTTTAGGAAATGATACCAGACTTTTCCTACGTAATACCTTTGTGTTCAAAGAACAAGTGAAGTATTATTGTCCTTTAATGATTGATATTCACTAATTTCCTGTAATTTGTTAGCTTTAAATGATTATCTCATAACTGTAGAACATAATAGAGTCGCACAGGTGGTGTGGTGTGGTCTACTTATATCTACATAAGTAGTATATGGTGTGGGTCAGACATAGAATGTATTTTGGCAGAAGACCGATGACGAAAGAACTGAAACGAAGCGCAATCGGTAGGAAAATGCACGAACAATGGAATTAGAGAAGAAACAGTGAAGATCGAGACTATTGGTTGTTAATTTGCAAATTGACTGTACATTGTATGGTTTTCAGAATTTACTGAGATAGTCTGTAATCTTTGCTTAAATACATTCGATTGTCCCCACCCGGTGTTCTGTTCACAACAGTGGTACAAGGATGAATTACAATACTAACTCTTAATTCATATAAAATTAGGAAAACGTGACATATTAACCTGTGACGCAATTGTTCCAAGTCGAGATGACTGGAGGGAAAATTTACTATGCAATGTAGTAGCAATAACCTACAAGTTACCATAAAAGATGTTCCGTGCTACGTGAAGAATCTTTTACTTAATAAAAACTCCATTTCTTTCTAACGACCTTTAGACACTTACATTTTTAGAACTGATAGCTGACTGATGTATTAATAAATCTGTTTATTTATCAATAATAAAATTATAACTAAGCATGGATGCTGGCCAGCTGTTTAACCAAAGACGCGCGTTTCGTCCTATTTGGGACTCGTCAGATGGATGTACCTGCTCTCAGAGTTGATGTTCACTCAGGGACTCCAACCCAGTACCGCTCACTACAAACGCCATCACGTTATCCATTTAGCTACTGAGTCCTGAGAGCCGTTAGCTTTCGCAATGAGGTAATTTTCTAAAACATTTTGTATTGTTTGTTTGAATCTTCCCATTGATGTTTGGGCCTGCAATTGATCAGTCACTTACTGCCATAAGTCGCAAGCATTATAAGCAAAGATGGATGGTCGCTAGTAGTGGAATCCAGGACGCGACATAAGGCAATATCGAGGCATACGATGCACATATGCCAATAAGAGACTGATCAATGGAAGTCCTAAACATCAATGTGAAGATTCAAACAAACAATACGAAATGAATTGAAAAATTATAACCAATCAAACTGTATGGTTTTAAATTTTAAGGTCATTATGAGTGAAATCGGAAACTTTCATGGAAAAAAGAGCTTAATGGTAAATCGTATGAACATTTTACTGTTATATGAAAGTAGAAAAGCGATTAGTTTTTCTATGGGCATTTTTCGAAAACCAAAATCTATCTACTAATTAAAGGTTGTCAGTAATAAGTGAATGGCCAGAAAGATTTAATTTGGTAGTTTTGAACTGTCAGGATATTGTTAAACAAAATATAATTATAACTGTTTAGTTGATTATATGTCATAAAAAAATGAAGTTTACTACTTCTTCAGGAAGAAACAATAAACTTCTCATTCGAATTTCCCTTTCAATACTTACTTTATCGGAATAAACTTGTAGGCATAGAGCTGAATTGCATAAATCTACAGCAACGTCACCATCATATTCATTTTTTAATGTAGTAGTTGTAGTAGCAGTAGTAGTATTAGTGGTAGTAGTTGATGTCATTGAAATCACCGTCATCATCGTTGAAGATACAATAGAATCTGACCTTAATAATAAATGATACCTAGGCGTATTAATGATATTTGTTGAAATATTTGATTCCGTGATAACATTATTATTATTAAAAGAAATCATGATATTTGTAGTAACAGGTATTTCTGATGACGTCATAGACGTTGTTAAAGCATTATATGGAGCAATAACCACAGGATAAACTGATTCAGTTGTAAGTAATAATGATTTAGATTCTGAAGTGAATGAATTATCAAACGACAAATGAGATGAATCAACTGCGTCTATATCAGTGGTTGAATTTGCTAGTACAAGACTTATAGGTTCTTCATACTGAACAATTTTCTGTAATGCAAAACATAAATGAATAAATTATACGTTAAAATGATTCAGGATAGAAAATATGGAAAAAAACCTTCATACAACTTCATAAATAATATTTATACAACAAGATGGATAATTGTGGCAAAATGCCACTGGGTCAATAACTCCCTCTGTTTGACTGGCTACCTGACAACAACTTAATACAAACTTTCCATCAAGCAATAAAAACTAATAAATCAGACAGAAAATCAATAAACATGGTGAAATTAGTACAAATTATTTATAAAATTCATTACATATCGAAAAAGAAGCTGAGAATTGAATAGAGACATAGATTTTATGAAGGTAAACATTAACGGTATCAATTAGGTAAACCAGATGACAAAAATAGGAGTTATAGATTTACTTACAATTTTTGCTAGTAAATTACGCTGATTAAGAACCTAATAAAAAGGTCGAACAGGCCGGCATACAGTATGAAAAATTACACAACGGCATATTAGAAACTGAAGCTGTCTAGACAACTGAAAATTGACAAGTGTTTTCTCTTTCGCTATATAAAAGCCAGGCTGAGACTTAAGGATGGATTTATTTTGGTAGGGTACAATGAATTTGAATCCATACTCATATCGTGATCAGTCAGTCAGTCAGCTACAATGTAGGACCAGGCACATATATGCATCGGTCAAAGTTGCCATACCTCGTTAGCACAACAAGATGAACACCAAATTCATAGAAATAGTTAATTTAGTGATGGTAATATATAAAAGAAAGATTGTATATAAGGATATAGTACAGGAAGGAAGAAAGAAAGATATGAAGCAATTTTAATCTCAAGGTTTAAGGTAAGATAGAGAGTGTATACACCTACGCCATTGTGATCGATTCTGAGTCATGTCATACAGAGACTCCAGTCATTAGTAACGATAGCTACGCACAAATACTGTGAAACTATTCGGTCTAATTTAGATTAAAGTTTTTATATATCTACTAGATGCAGAAATATTGAGAATGTGGCATGAATAAATCATTTGATATGTTTCATCATGAAAAGTAGTACATATTTCTCATTGAATGTTTATAAAACAGTTTGAAAATTATGACTATAATAACAAAAATGGATTTTTAAAATCCCACAGTTATTCATCATTTCATTAGTTTGTTATTTGTTTAACATCCGGTACAATAATGACATATCTGAAGCGTTAAAGTTAATCGAATAATTTTGATGTTTGATTATATTTCCTCGGAAAAGCTTGGACCAGATTGCCAGGCGAAACGTTTGTTTACTTCAAATTCATCCCGACCGTTGTTGCTACCTTGACGTGGTGGTCGGGCTTGCCTATCGTGATGAACCAATCGAGTTATACTGGCTGGAACAATCGTTCCTCAAGGTCCTACTATGCCAGGCAGGTTGGTTGAAGAGCGCTAAGACTAAAAGCAGCAAACCCAAGATGCGAGGGCGAAGTACAGAGGTGTGACAGCAGTAAGGTGTATCCTTCAGAAAACCAGCATAACATCGATGCTACCTTCGCACAAGGAAGAGAGGGGTTGGAAAAGGTTGACCCTAAAAATGCACACCTCGCTCTATCTCACGGATATCTGTCTCCGGCCGTAAGGTCCCAACAAGTAGGAAGCCAACACAAAAATTACTCACAAAAGGTCGTGTGTGACCGACCTCAAGCAGTTGTCCCTTGGGCACTGCGGTCACGCTCTTAGGTCACTAGGACCACTTCTAATCTGATTTCCTTTACAGGTACCTCAAGAAGAACACTTCCACGGCGTGGACAACCGGGAAATAATAACCGCCCTCATACCTCTAACAGCACTCAAGATCACTGTATTCACTTCAGATTCATTCTCTGAGGTTTTACAAATATATTCTTCCTCTTTAATTGATAGATACTTCATTATTTCAGTATTAATCTTATAAATTTTAACATAATTTTGTAGACAAGAAAAATGTAATTTTATATATAACTTAAATAAAATTATGTAAACCCAGTTTGTTTATTTTTTGATAAAACTAACTGAAATGTGAAAAAAAGTTAAATTTTCAACTTAATTTTAAACATACAGATAATTTTGATTTAGATATGACAGTTTTATTGGTAGAATCCCTATCAGTAATAGATTTTTCATTTTTACAGTTTGTATGATGGGAGCGCATATGTTTTCTAAGTGAACTTGGATCTGTATATGCTCTGTGATCATCACAAATTTGACAGATATATGGTCTTGGACGAGATTGATTAATTTTGTCTTCGATTTGCAAAGCAGATAAACCAGATGAATTCCAATCACTATAAACATCTTTATACAAACATTGCTTATCCTGTTCAGACAAATATTTATCTTCAAAATGATGCTTCTTCATACACTGAGATCTTTCTGATGTTCTAGAGTACGCTTGACGACAAATTGAACATACATATGGTTTTAAACCTACGAGAATAAAAATAGGTATTCATTAAATGCTGAATAACCTAAGTATTTAGAAGACAATTTCCACGACAAACAAATACTAACTAGGGAAGTATTATATATTTTTTTCATCCAATATACGTAAAATCTGGATCATCAGGATACCGAAAGTGTATGTGATACAAAATAATGATATATTATTGTAAAAAGAAATATGAAACTGAAATGAAACACAACAAAAATAATAAGTGAAAAAGAACCATATTATAATAGGAGATAAAGTTCAGTCAAAAAGAAAACCAAGTAGATTTATTTCAGTCAAGGGAGTTTCTCTTAACCAAGTAGAATGTAAGAGAAAACCACAGTAGGATCACTACCAGCTTCTATTCAAAGCCATATCTGATAAAGTCACAAGCCACTGAGTCACAGCATCACTAGGATCGCAACCTGAGAGTCGTGATGGATTGACAGATCCTAGCCTTATACTATCCCTCATAAAACAGGTACGTGTCGTAAACTGACCTCTCAATGGTTTTCCAACGAGCCCTAACATCGGCAATCAACGTACGATGTAGGATCATCCAGTACAACATTCATGAAGTATCTCTAAACCACCGAAACCAATGTTTCAGGATGCCAAACCTCTGCATTACTGACAAGGTAGTAAGACCAGATGTTAGCGATCTTTTGGATAAAACAATGAAAGAAGACAGAGAGTCACCGAACACTCTCCGATAGCGGTATCTAAGTTTCAGAAACATATATCACAACTGCTTTCATCAACACTTCGTAAGCTCAACCTTTTTCAACCAAATTAAAATGACATTAGTGTACTGTTGAACAGTTTCAAATTTGAACTGCCAGTCCAATGTTTTTGATTTATAATACACCTAGGGTATGAGCTAAACCAATACTAAATCTAACAATCAATCAGCCAAATCTTTTTAACCCTGTCTACTTAAAATTAAAATCCGATTATTCAAGGTATAAGCAGTCTTTGCAGAAATGAAAGCAACAAGGTTATACACTCAGAGCAATATACGACTGAGGTAATTAAGTTACATAATAGTACAGTTGTTCTAAACTGGATGACAATAAAGCATGCAGTGTTATAACGACCAAACTGATCATTTCCTTACAGAATCGATCCCCAAATCTCAAAAAGATTTCAGAAATAAGGACTACTGATCAACAGAATGATTAGACGAACACATATCAAGGGATTTAGGCTAGTACCTATGTACAAAATAATCAATCGGTGACTTGATCAAGTTAATTTCTCTCCAAAGTAAAGTGATTGTGTATACGCAAATATTACACACACATCAATATAGAAAGAAGGAGAGTAATAATAGGTGTACAAATAAATAATTACCTGAATGTACATTTGTATGCCTTTTTAGATTTTCTTTTGAACTAAAGCGTTTTCCGCACTGTGGACATGATAGGTTTAAATGATTTTTATGTAGAAGTAAATGATGTTTCAAATGAGTCCTGGAACAGATAAAGAATAATGAATAAGATTCATTGTCAAAGTTCGGAATTTCTTGATTAATTAAGAGGTTTGCGAAAATTTATTTAAATTTGAGTAAAGTTCCTACCACAGATTAACTAATAAATGATTATATGCTCATCAGTGACTGTTTTTGTAACACAAATCTCTCGAACACCTAAAGAAAAGCTATGACTAGTGCAGTTGATGCTATTGTAAGTGAAATAGTTACACAGCAATAAAGCTAAACAGTAATCCGAATAAATTGTAAATTGACCAAAAGTAAACAGCTGAATTTCCACTCAAAAGCTTGAATGTGGTACCAGGAAATCTGAGGGCTTTTTCGTCCAATCTCATGAAGAGTAGATTGTGCATACATTTGATGAATTCCTAGCAGAGTGAAATAGCTATCTAATGTCCCATAGTTTGTAATCATGCTTTGTACAGTATCAGCTCATGATAAAAATTATCTTATTTATCATTACAATAAAGTGTCATAAAGTATAAGCAATGATAAATTCTACCCTTAAGATTAAATGAGCGCTAAACTGACATAATAATTTCACAAAGGTAAAGTGAAAAAAAGTAGCAAGCAATAAATATCTGAACTTTATGTTAATGTAGATAGACATAATTATTTTCAACAGTTAAATTAGTGAGATACTAGATGAATTAACTCAACTGTTCGAAAATAAATAAAAACCAGTCTCAACAGTTAGATAAATTAATTTTGGACAGAAGTATACAATAGCTATTTTCTATACATTTAGTTATTGAATACTTGTTTAACTAATTAAGAACAAGCTTATAACGGAAGAGATTACAAAAATACTTATTATTGGATGACATATTCCGTAGTTAACACTCCTTTACAGAATCCGACCGTATTTCAGATTTAGGTAGTATCCTGTTTTCACAGTTGAATGGTATAATTAAGCAGTTTATCTATCGTCCTGGAAACTATCAAAGCACCAAAATGGAAAACACATTTTCTCCAATTCAAAATGTGATGAATGTTACACACTTGTATTTTACATATTCGACTGTAAAATGAACCGATTCGAATCAGAAATCATATAAACTTGGTTTGAAAATAAAAGTACTGAATAAAAAATACCGGAGAGTTTAGTGATAATATGATCTACGTTCAAGGTGAAAGTGATTATGAAAAATCTAAGATATTATTTGTGGTTTATGTGCACATAAATATACTGAACTTATGAACCCACTAACTACAATACTATACATGAGTTTTCATTATTATTGTTAAGTGTTTAACTTTCATATTGTTGATATTAAGGGCTGAAGAGATTAGTGTACGCTGTCATATAGAGATTTTAGGTGGGTATCTCAACACTGCTTAAGTACGCAGATTGGTAGTATTTTGCTTATTGGGTACCACCAGTATAGACCATATAACTGATTTTGTCCCATCTGAGACTCGTCAGCAACATAATTATAAGGCAGAATAATGTCCCACTAATATTTTACGACGATCACCATTGTTTTAATGTCAACATAAACTGGTCGATCTATTCCCGAATATCCTCAATAAGAAAGTGTGGACCATTATGAATAAACACATTGGTAACTATTACGACTCAGAACTCTGGACAATAAAAATCTGGTGTTTGAAGCCTTGTATATAGAGTTATGGCGTTAGAGAGAACACATATATTAGGATACTGGGATATTCAGATATAGAGTATCTGAACAGAACTAAACATGAAGTGGGTCCGATAGAGAGCTCCTGTACAGAACATTATGGACCATTTGTAGCTATATGGTGACGTCATTGATGCACATAATGATGAAATCAATAATGATAGATGGGATACCATCGGTTGCAGACTGTATAGGATTTATACATTTTTTAAAACAATTTGACAGTCAAAAATTCCCAGAAGAGGAGTATTCAAAGTATACAAATAGTTACTTACATTTGTTTAAAAGGCTTCTTTAGAAGAAATCGCGGACATTGTAGCCAATCGCAGTAAAATTTATTTTCAGTATGTCTAGATCTTGGTTGCTTTTGACGCTTCCGACCAACCGATTTCCCTGACTTACTAACGTAGGAGGAACAAGGACCAATACGGTTCTGCCGCTGTAAGGCGTTAAAAGAGAGACGAATAAAGCAATACGCATGATCACTATTAATTTTGTGAAACGTTCATGGGTATGTCACTCATAAAATTCAGTTACATTGATTCTCAACTAGTAATTTCTCAGAAATAAACAATAATCTACTAAGGTGCATTGTGAGGGGTTTAGTATGGGATGCCGATAGTTTTCCATAGAAAATGAAAACACTAGAGAATCACTGAAAACCAAGGAGAATTGAATAGCAATTTCCGTCTTAGATTGGAAATCACTAAATACACTTAACTGATAATAGATATATTGTAATCGTATCAAGATATGCAACTCTTGAGATCGATTTTACATGGGGTGTATTTGCGATGTTGAAAAGTCTCGAACTAGAGAGATACCACTGTATGGTGTTTTCTGATTTTCAATAGCTTTCTACACTATATGGATTTAAAAGAGAGGCCATTTTCAAATTAAACAATAATCTTCAAAATGTATTTGTACACACAAGGTCTATCATTTAAATATTACTTGAAGTGAAAGATAAGATTACATTCACTTATTTATCATTTCCGATACGATTTGAACTTGAAGACTGGGAAATTACGTTCGTGAGATTATTTAACCAATAACTAAACTGAGAAGTAAAGAGTTAAGATTATGTGTTTGTATAAGGCATTATTTCTAGTTCCTTTTTAAATAAATTTGAGTATGACATTTGATATTCTTTAAACTTTTATCTAAAAATTAACTGTATCGCATCTAAAGCTAGTAATGACTAAACTTGATCAATAGTTATATCATTTCATATAAAGATTAGAAACGTACATGATGGCTAAATGTAGCAATTGGAGGTAAACATGCTTCTGAATCTTCTTGAATAGCTGGTAATTTTTGGGATTCATTTTTTAATACAAATTGTTTACGACATGATAAATCTTGAGGGAGCCCAGGTGAAGCTGTGTATATATCTCTTCATAGAGGAAAAAATAAAAAATAGAATTACATTAGTATAATTTTTAGTTAATGATGTCAACTTCATTTGAAAAGAAATTCGATTGAGTGTATATTCAATATTACACATTCCAAGAAAGCTATTGATCAGATAAGAGATTACACGGTTATACAGAAATAATTTCTTAATGAAATATTTCAGATGTAAATTAAAGTGGAATAGACCACGAATTTGTGACCTGATTGGACATAAACTCAAGTATTTATACTGGTTAGCTTTATTTTGAAATATAAAAAAATTATACATTACAGAAGTCCATCTTAATATGTTTTAGGTTAAAATCTCATTTGGATTAAATAAAACTAAAATGGGAAAAAAACAGAGATTAAACTAGCTACTGCATGGAATAATTAGAAATGTTATATGGGATGAGAGTAAACTAATTAGCAAGTCTATGTTCCATATGTTATACTTAGGTGATAATAAATATTTAACAGTGTTTATCATATAACATAAAAGTCGATGTATAAGACTAATTCATCAAAGGTTGCTACAGTTGAAAAGAAATATTTAGTGTTCATCTAACTGTTAAAAAAAAGTAACGTCACAGAACAAATCAATGAGAAATTGAAAGTAGACTGTCTTGTTTGTAACTCTATCAAGATTTCTGTTTTTCTTGCTGCATTTTGTAAAATATGACAACTTAAAGCTATGTGCTTTTGAGCTGGGTTTCACATTGATACTGTTGCCTGTTTATTTACTTCTACTTCGCTTCCCCTATCGATTAAAAATAATGAAATGTACATAATAATTATTACAGACCGTTCATAAAACAATACTATCTTAAATCGATCAAACTAATAAAACCATTAGTTCTATATAAAAAACCATTATCTAAAGCTCAATATTCCGTGGATTAGTGGCTCAATATTTAGGGTGTTTAATTCCCAATCGCAGAGTCACTGGCTCGAACCTCATCCTGTCTACTTTGGTTTAGGCTAACGAATAGTTTCATTAGCTTTCATATTTTGAAACCTAGTGCAAGAAACTGTACCCAAAAAACGCGTTAATAACACCTTGTACAATAAGAATAATGATATTTGTAATAAATCAAGAAGAAAATTAAATTTCTGAAGTTTCACGTTTGTTGTAGGTAATTTTTCAAGAGTAAATAAATAAACATACGAATTAAATTAACAAACATCTAAGTAGTACAGAGGAACAAAGCAAAAACACATAGTACAGTCGAAAGACAGACCTGATCAACTCAATGTCACTTAACTCTGGTCAAGACATCTTTATGAGAAATGTTTTTGTATCTGTAGGTTAATGAGTGTGTAAAAATGTAATACTTGTAATGTGAAAGAGCAGAATCGAACTTCAATGTACGTTGATGGTGTGAGATGTAGTTTGGTTACACTAAATACTCCCTCTTTGTTCCTCTGAGTTATTTAAACTTGTGTTAATTTAATGAGTTTAAGTATTCACTTACCCTGAAAAACTTAAAATAAGTCATGAAACTTCAGGAATTTAAATTTTTATTCATTGGGACATTAAGAGAATATCACTATTTGTATTACTGACAATCTACCCAATGATCAAATTATTTTAAAGTACCACATCAAACTTCAGTAATGATACTTATGATATCTTGTATATTGTGCGATTCCTAAACATAGTCACCATTTTAAAACTTTAGTTCTTGTCTTCACAAAAAATTGGTGAAGGTTATACAAGTGAAGAAGAAAAATTAGTCTTCATTCAACCTTTAGAACTGGCATCCCAGAACAAATCATTGAACAATATTAAGTAGCAAAGGATTTGCAACTATCGTAAATTAATGTGAAGTTATGTAATCACGGACAGAACTTCAGGGAATTTTTGATGTTTATTTAAGTACATTAATTCAAGTTAAATAAAGAGTTAAAGTAATCAAGGTATGGAGAGTAATACGTACAGAATTTATTGTTAATATATATATATATATATATATATATATATATATATGATCTACCTAAATTTAACATTAAAAATAGAATTATATTACATTCAAGTCATCAGGAAACTAGGCATTCCTTACAGTGCAGCACAATATGGGCAAGAAATATAATTATAATTGATATTCGTAAGAAATTGACAAAGTAACAAAAAAAAACAGGATAAAATGATACAACTGACCAAATGCATATATTTTTCATCGAAAGTGAAATTCTGTTGAAAAAGGGAAAAAATTACCTCATTTTCAAGATTAAGTGGATCTTGGAGATCGAAGGTCCAGATCGTTTACATCATTATGATAGTTCGGTTTGAATAATTCACATTATAATTAAGTCTTCCCTCTATTGTATGAAGGGACAATAAAATAAAACGTAATTAGAAGGGTAAGAATAGAATTAATCTAAAGCACTTCGAACTCGATCGTGAGGTAATAAATTCAAATCTGCCTTCATCTACTGGTTTGCCGTCTTTAGGTGGGGTCCTATTATAACTTCTTCAACTTTGAATTTTTTTTAGATACAATAAATGCTACAAAATAGCCGATAATTGTATACTAGAAACCATCTCATGGTATAGTGGCATTTTCTTCGCTCTAAAACGAAATAAGACTACCTTTTACGGGATCTCAATTCTTGAAAAGTCAGGAACAAGAAAACCACTGAATATATTCTGAAGACTACATCAATCAGAATGATTGAGAAATTGTCATAAAAGTTATTCACATCTTTTACGTTCAACTAAGGTAAGTGATGGAACAATATACAATAGGGGAAACGGTCCACTCAATACATTTATGAAATCTCTAATCAATGACTGCATGTAACCGACAGTTCCACCAATCAGTATCTCTTATATGGTTAAGTTTACACTATGAATTAAAAAATCTGGCCATTATTCCAAATCACCGATCCTGCACCATTCTTAATGACTTCTAACGACGGTAGCATTTAAAACCAATCCTTGAAATTAATTTCAAACTATCTCAACTGCTAACGTTAGATAGAATACTCAATAAAGGTTTTTGACATACATTAGTCCTGTCTAATGTACCTTAGCATGTCATAAAAAACTACGGAGTGTTTAGTTGAGATAAAAAAGTACTGTCAAAGCCATGTAAATTGCAGAACAGATTCTTACTAACAACTATCAGCTCTTTTGCGTAGAATTGAAACATTGGAAAACTGCATTTTTTTCTTTGCATCAACTGAGGTGAGGAAATGTATACACAATCTCACGAAGTTCAAAGATGTTTAGGGACAAGCGGGATTTTGTGATGGATACCGTTTTCTGGTAAGTAGACGCAAGATAACGAATCTCAGCAACTTATTTATCTATTTAAAACACAAACATTGGTACAAGGAGGCACCAAATAGATATGAGCCACATAAATCATTTGATTGGTGTGAGGGCTGGGATACTGCACGGGTGCCCAGACTGAAGCAGGTGGTTTTCTTGGAGAGATACACCCCAAGCCTTTGACCCGAAGATCTAGTCCACAAGGCAGTGGAGCAACGTAAGGAGATGCAGTCCCATGATGGCCAGTGACCAACAATAGGTTCATACGCCATTTCTTCCTTCAGGATACGGTACTCCATATGCATCATTTGTTTGGAATCAGGGTTTTCCAACTCTCCTAAGTGAATCCGCCGTGTCCATCAACCTGATTGAAGCGCCGGACTTTCACTTTTCGTCCTCTTAATTTCGTAAACAACAGTAGTGCCACGAGAAGGCAGTGAGTAGGACTTCCCTGGCAGTGGTTGTATGTACGTGGCGATGTGAGAGCGTTTCGAGAGGGAGAGTTGACTCACCTCACTCTCGAAAGTACCAGGGCATTTTGTGGGCAATTTTTGCAACAAATACGTGTTTTTATACTGTCACCACCAGTACCGCAAGAACTAAAACTGCGGGACTGTTTAGAACAAAGTACTTGAAAGACTTTTCGGTTTGTGAACCCGTGTTTAAAAATAGTATGTTCAGATCGCTAATCTAGACAGATAACCGCTACCTTATTGTGGTGGTCGGAGTTACCTATCACCGGGGATCACTCGCATTATACTGACATAGGATGCCTATTTATCGAAATCTCAATACCTAAACGTGGTTTGGAAAGAATTTATACCATAGCTAGTTTCTCTAGTGATGTGCATAATCAGACTCTAAGAGCCGCACTTTCAAGTTTTCCACTAACAGTAAGGTTGTCTAGGGATTGAAAACGATTCTTTGAGTACAAATATACTTTTCTGGTTTTATAAATCCATGACTCCTGCTATCGTTTCCTCCTTTCTGTTTTTGCTATCTATGACTATTACGAACATTAATACTACCAGTTTACTAAAATTTATCTCCACATATAGTCTTCGAAAAGGACTGAAATATTAAAATTCTGTCAAGCGCCCTGAACTCTATAAAATGATCTTATGAACAAACATATAATCAATGATCCTATTTGATTAATCTTATTTTAGTGATACAACTGATTATTTGGACATCTCAGGACTTTTTGGACTGTTCGTGTATGTATCTAAGCAGCAACGTTTAGCTGAATTGTCGTTGAAGAAAGTACGTCACTCTAGAGGAGGGTCACTTGAAAGATTAAGAACAGAAAATTTTAGTTTTTAAACGACTCAGTAGGGCACTGAATCAACATTTTGAGTGAAACGTTAACATTACATCATTATTACTAAGGTCACAAAGAATGTGAAGAACTTGAACCAAAACAATGCAAAATGTTCTGAAAGTTTGTCCCTAGACGCTTTTGACGATAGCTATTAAGTTAAAAATATAAATCAGCAGCGAACTTGACCGGTGTGTACGAGTCTAAGTAAGAATGTAATGAGTACAGTGGGTCCCATATTTAACATGTGTTGTAGATTGTAAACTCACTCAATCTACCATACTTTCATCGGATGAAAAATGCCATTCCTTTTCTGCAAATTGATCGTATAGCCACCTACGTACAGAAATTAGAGACAGCTTGAACTCCGCTTCTGATAATTCTACTGTTTGAGAAATGAGAGTAACAGTAGTAACTGAAAATTAACTAGTCAAGCTTAGTTCTCAAGATAGTGGGAGTTGTAGTAATTAATTGACCGTCATGAACTTGGGAAAAGACAAACAACGAAAATTAGTAAGTCAGAACACCGAATTCAGGCTTTTAATTAGTTATGATAGATTCCGGGAGCACCACTAAACTTAACTGTCAGCGACGTCCTATAACAAAACTTACCCCCCCCCCAAATTTCCTGGTACGGCCGGGGGTGAGGTGAGTCAACTCTCCCTCTCGAAACGCTCTCACATCGCCACGTACATACAACCACTGCCAGGGAAGTCCTACTCACTGCCTTCTCGTGGCACTACTGTTGTTTACGAAATTAAGAGGACGAAAAGTGAAAGTCCGGCGCTTCAATCAGGTTGGTGGACACGGCGGATTCACTTAGGAGAGTTGGAAAACCCTGATTCCAAACAAATGATGCATATGGAGTACCGTATCCTGAAGGAAGAAATGGCGTATGAACCTATTGTTGGTCACTGGCCATCATGGGACCGTATCTCCTTACGTCATTTATTTATTTGAACACATAAATATTGATACAAAGGGGAACCAGATACATATGCACCACACAAATCTTATTTGATTTGTGTGAGGGCTGTGATACTGCCCAGGTGCCCAAACTGAAGCAGGTGGTTTTCTTACGGGACCACACCCGGATCATTTGACCTAAAGGTCTGATCCATAAGGCAGTGAAGCATCGTAAAGAGATGCAGTCCCATGGTAGCCGGTAACCATACCATTCATACGCCATTTGTTCCCTCAGGATACTGGAGCCCATGTGCACGATCAGGGTTTTCCAACTCCCCTAGGTGGACCTTCTGTGTCCACCAACCTGGTCAAAGCGCCGGACATTCGCTTCTCGTCCTCTTAATTTCGTAAACAACAGTAGTGCCACGAGAAGGCAGTGAGTAGGACTTCCCTTGCAGGGGCTATATATGCCTGACCATGTGGGAGCATTTCGAGAGGGAGTTGACTCACCTCTCGGCCGTGACGCATATCTTTTTGGTGCCACCTTGTACCAATGTTTATTTTTAAATAATAATATCATGAAAGCGACAAATTCGGAACTTCAGCACTGGCTTTTCCATGAGTAACTAAAACTAATGAAACATTTGTGTGCAACAAAGAAATATGAAATAGAACACAACAGATGGATAAGGATGTCACTTGCTGCAATGATCTAACCGTGGACAGTGACAAGAGTCAAAAACCCTTTTTTGTGTATATGCGTTTACCTGATGTACCAGAAAAAAGGATCTATCGGTTGTAAAAATGAACACAAGTTGTGGACAGGCATATTTACACGCTTTTGCAAAGTCATGTGGATGGTGTTCATCAAATATATCAGGTTGTAACAGGATGCAAGTTAGCTATCTTAGAATTTACATGTGTCGAGATATAGACATCATTTAATGAACAAAAAGACATTAACAGACACCATTCCGAGAAAAACCATTATATTTTTTGTTTAGTGTAATAGTCACGGAGCTTTACATTATTTGGAAGAGAAATTGATCTTTGATTAATACATTTTGAATTAACAGCAGTTGCACAACTCAACAAGTATTTGTAAAGCTGTAAAGAGTGATAGTCACCTGAAAGTGGGACATTCTGGGGTGGAGAATTTTGAAGTTTTTGAAAAGTTTCGACAAATTTACGAAGCCTCAGAACATGTTGCGCGTACCTATCACAAAATTCATCTTTAGGCATAGTGTTAAACGCTGCAGCATATATCTCAAAATGACCATGTGAATGATCCTCTTTCACAATTTCACTATGACTTTTCGGGAAGGGAAGTTTGGGGTTCCCGTCTGCGTACATTAGAAGGTTCATTTTTGCGTTTGTACATAACCACGATAGACCACTAGGTATCATACCAAAAACAGAAGATTCCGCAACATCATTCCCTCCACGATAAATCCTGTTCAAGAATAAAAGCAAATGATTCCAGCGTTCAATAACATGAGAGTCGTGCTTTAAAAGAAAGCTGATGTCCCCTGACTTTTGTAAAACGTATGACGGTTTATTCCCAAAAAGCTTTTCAGCACCTTGAGAGGTTATTGGAAATGAGTTGGATATTTGTTCAAAGTCCATGCTTTCGTCACAATTCAGCAAGAACATAATTTGCTCCTTTGCCTTCCATGTAAGCACAGACAACTCTACAGGATTACTGATTCAGTCAAACACCTAGTATTAAACCAAACGTACTTAGAATACTTCTTTTGAAGTACTGAAAACTTGTGCTTCTGCCTTTCAACAAACTTTGCGTGTCTCATTTCACTCACCGATTTCTCGAAATTTTCCCCAGAAAATGAGGTTTCAACAATTTCAGCAGCATTACGATAGAAGTTGAACTCGCTAGCTTTTCGAGACCGCTTTGTGTACCTTGAGAAGTAAGTGTTACCCCTACATGCTGAAACACCATTTGATATTTGAAGGAATGGATTATAAAAGACAGATATGCGGCTAACTGTCAACATAAATTATAACCAAAAAATAAGGAGCGACCATGAAATCTAACGTACGTAGTGAAATTTCCCCAAATTTAGACTTTATCTGTTGTCCAATATCCAATAGCGTTATGTTAAATCTATCGTGACCCAAAAGACTTTTCTGATGTAAACACAACTACTTACGTTTTAAATGTCTTTGATTATTCATATGTTTCAATGATAATACTTCCAAAAATCTAGTTGTTCATAATGGTCAGCTAAAAGTGCATCACTGCAGGCAGAATGTCGAAAGCAGTTTCTCCACCAAAAAAGTCATACGGTTTGTTCTAGCTGCTAGGCAGACAAACCGTCCTAACTTCTTCGTTTGTTCTATGCACTCTGATATGGTACTGCCAAATATTTACTTGTTCACCCCCTAAAATCTTTGTGATTGTGTATATAGATGTCTATCTCTATCTTTGAGTTGATTTCTTACCCATCTACTCTCTGTATTTTGTACAGCCTAATTTTAACTATAATAGGGTAGCTGATTAGCCTGGTTTATGGTTTGTCTACTAGTTCTTAATTCGTGAAATAAACGGATTTTCTATTACATTTCTCATTTCAGCTTCCTGGTGCAACATTTTATCAATTTGTAGGGCCAATTAAATGTCACATGGTTCAGGCCGAATCATTCGGCTGTCGTCTCAATATCCAGCGGTTCACCGGTTTTCGTCAAAGTTAAGGACAACCAACGCTCATCAGTTGTCTGCACTCCGTGAACTGGCCCATTCGATGGTGTCGCACTCTGTTTCTTATATCTGCTCTTGTTAATATATTTCTGAAATAACGTCGTTTGTGTTGTACGGTCATCAGATTAGCTATAAGGCCTGGATGCCACGAAGGGCTAATGCACGTTAATTACTCACCGTGGAGTGTGACTGCGACGTTAAATAGTCTGTCGCATCATTCCCGTCCAGCTTCAGTAGTTCCCTCAACCTCACAATATCTACTTAGGTGATCTCTAAATAAAATATATCAGTGGTTAAATGCTTTATTTCTTACGGAAGTTTCAAATACAAACTGTGGTCAGATACATTCACAAGAGGTTTAAAATGTTGACTACTCAGTAAGGCACTTGTTAGTTTTGAAAAAGTGGTTCATTCTGGGCTTCCAAACTTGTCTGTCTTATTTAGTAAGTTGTTTTGACACGGTTAGAAAAGAAAGTGGCGATCTGTAGTATCCAAAATCACCTCATAATAGTTTATATGTTGCGATTGAATCATATTTGAGTCCCCATCGGGACGGCTAGGTAAGTCTGAATTACCAAGCCTCAATATGTATGGTAAGCCTTGAGCCTCATGAGATGCCTAAGTAGTTATCATTTTTACGTTTCCCAAAATAAATGACGTTCATAAGGTTCCAAACAACTTTCCTCAAAGTAGATGGCACTGAGCAGTTGTTTTATTATAGCTTTCCGTTATCGTCAGCATCAACTGCATTGTGATCCTCTTGAAGTCAAAATTACTGCCATCGGCTTGTCTAATATTCATTTCGAAAAATTTGGTCACATTGCTCAGCACCAGTTGTGAAGCGGACAGGCTAACTTAAATGTCGAGGTCTGCTCGCTTTAACACTGAGCATGTATCCTTTGTTTTTTTTTCACGAAATTTTGAAGTCATCAGCACAAAGCAACATTGAAGACTTGACACTTCTCACTAGCTCTTTAACTTAAAGTAAAAGCAGCAAACGACTCAATAAGTAACTTACTAAGTACGGATTAGTAAGGAATGCATTTGAATCTAATCATGAAATTACATAAAACAATCTACTAGACATTTTATACTGCCCTTATACTATTGTTTTCCTTTGTCAAATTACTCTATCCAGATTTACTGCGCCTACTTTTTGATTTCGCCGTTTATTCTTCTCAACACTGAAGTTTGATGATTGGCATATCACATTACTTTATTTACTTTACTTTAAATTGACTGCCTTTGTTACATATAACTGAAATTGAATCGCGTTCCATGTGATAATCGGCAACTAATTGTATAGTTTTCGTATTATTTTTGCGTGGTTCCAGTTTTAGACAAATGATAACAGCTGTGAACACATAGCGCAGTGCTAACAGACAGCCAACTTATTGACTTGCTGACATATCTGTGAAGATGTTCTGTCATATATTTTCATTGATTTTATCCACCTAATAACCCTACCGAAGTAATATCTTATCCGTAGACCTATTTTTGTAAATTACTGACCATGCCTGTAAATACGGTATGTATCTGTTACGTCACAAATATATATGTGTTATAATTCTTAACCTTATTTTGTTGTTGGTTACTCTCGCTTAGTGCCAACAAAATAAAATGGGAATATTGTGCTTATTTTGATAATTGAGCCTTACCAAGTTTGTGTGAGTTTGAAAACATAATGTTCAGATATATTTAAGTCGTTTTGAAAATATACCTCTACAAAAGCCACTGTTCTATATTTACTTGTATGTTTGGACACTTTGCCGCAGGGACGTTATTGACCGTCGTCACCCTTCTGATGTATTTGAACTCAAAATAAAGTTCCTGAAAAAACCAAACAAACGAATATACCAAAATTCTTCTTATTCTAGATTGCACAACAGCTGATAAGGTTTTTTCGTTCATATGACGTTTTACCTATTTGTACTCTTCATTGTCTGGCTGTTTACACAAAGCCAAATGAGGAAACTGTGTTGTCTCATGAATAATTCTGATTCCGATTAATCTGAAAACGCTTTTGTTCACTTGTGGAATGATTTTACTTATATTGGGACTCTCTGACCTCTAATTCTGTCAGTTACTTTTTAATGGTCAATCTTTTCGACGCTTTTTGATGAAACAGTATCCATTATTACGGAAAACGGATAAAAATGGAATTCTATTAGTTTTATTGCGCAAGCTCAATAAAACGAATATCTGCAAGCCGTTTGGATATTATTGAGTGTTGTGGTCCTATGATTTGTGTTGTTGTGAGCTTGCTCCTTCTCTTCTTGGTCTCCTGATCCAAACATTCAAGAACGAGATCTCATCCCCGGACTCTTGTTTTATTGGAGATTTGATGTCATTATAAATAACACTGATCAAACGATGAGTGTTTTCAAGCATGTACCTCATAAAAACTGGGCGTTTTATATTTTTTCAGCTCATTCAAATATATCTGGCTTAATTGTTGATGAAACAGTGATTTTAATTCTCCAAACCACAGCTTTATCCATGAATTTTAATGCTGATCATCACTAGGCGGCTCATTTGTTTCTTTTGCATATTTGAGAGATTAACTAGAAATATAGTTCTGTCGAACTTCAGCCTTGCACCTGTGTATAGTACGAAAGGTATTATTCGTTGCTGAAGGGTTTTGGTTTGGTGTTTTTGATGAGCCTGAGTGATGAAGAGCAACATCATATAATCCTTGTTTAGTTCCGAGCTTTCGATAAAGTCTGTATCTTGTATAAAAGGAACAACAAAATGATGCCTCGTAGCGTTTTTCTAAATAAATCATATTTTGGAGTCACTGTTAGTATTAAATATGGGTTTAAAGGAAATACATAGTTCGTATACAATAAGTGTACTACATAATTTGTAGTGTATAAATAGACTGTGTTTTATTAAGTACTTCTCTCATTTCTAGATTTGTCTTATCTCGACAAATTGATCTAGATTCCTGTTAACTCGACGATTTAACTGCTCAATTGAACTTGCTTTAAGCACTTACCATACGTTACCGACCTTGCAATTCTTTTATTTTGATGGCCAGAGAAGGCATTATTAGGCCAGCGAGGTGGTGTTTTGGAGCAACTCTCTGAACTCTTAAAATGCTTGAACCAACGTTCATGAAGCGCTGAGTTGAACCATTGTGCGACTACCAAGCTTAATAACTGAAAGCGCAGAAATTCGATAATTATGTGTGGTATTGTATTTTGACGAATATACGTATAAATATACAAATAAACGCTTAACATAAATAGTTTTACCCAGATCTACCAAGATGATTGGCACCCATATAACTGGATACGAACTAACATTCAGAAAATAGGTTGTATCCATTAGAAAAAATGAACTTGGGTATGCTAGACATTTGGTTTGGTGGATTGTGTACTGTCCAAGGACTGATAAGTCTTCGTTATTTTGGTTTTTCCCCGTCGTTACTAATACGTCTTGTTGATTGAATGCTGTATTCGGATCCTAAGCTAGTCTTGTACCCCCAAGCCAGAACTACACAGCGACCTGAACACGAGAGAAAAGGTGCAAAATATGCGGGAAGCACTTCACTCCAAAGGTTCATCTATGTACAGAAAATATAGGGTTTTTATAATATTTTAGAAGTCCTTGGGTTTACCTGAAAATTCTGGAGTAACACTAAGCATAGTTACAGTGTAGTAATCAGTCAATCAGAACCTTTACACGTGACTTTTCATTTTCGTGATATTTCTAGCAAAACTCCTAATCAAACGCTGATTGTATAAAATGCCTCTTAATGTTTCCTGAGCTTCTTATGTCTACTGCGAGAAATTTTCAGGATTATCACAACAGGGACGCTTCTCAAAATTGCTCAAACCGAATAGAACACACGTCTGACGTATTACAAGTAACCATATCGGGCTCTCCGTTATTCAATATTCAACAATTTATTATTTTATTTATTTAAACACATATATATTGGTACAAAAGGGCACCAGGTACATGTGCGCCACACAAAATAATGAAAGTAGGAAGAGAAGGGATGAAAAGATAAGGCGGACTGAAATGTACATCCAGAAGACTCTTTCAGTTAGGAAAGTTAGAATCACTCTTTATGAAGAAAGTAAAAGAAGGTTACAGCAGGATCGCCACTGGCTTCTATTCTGAGCCATATCTGATAACGTCTCTAGCCACTGCGTTGCACCATCTCTCGGACCCCAACCAGGGAATCGTGAAGGACCAACAGAAGCTAGACCTTTACAGCTTTCTTTCATGCCACGACACCATGTCATACACTGACCTCCTCTCCGCTTTTTCCAACCAGTCCGAGTC